TTGTCTGTAGGCAAGTTATCGCAAGAAATTAAGGACTTATTTAAGGAATTAATTAAATTTCCTACAAAGATGTAACCAAAATAATACTTATGGAACACGAATCTCAAGTGATGCATTAATACATCAGATTTTTCATGAAGTATCAATAAATATTCTTCAAAATTGTCCCGTTTGTTCATTTGGTTTTTCTCCAACAGTTTATTTTTAAACTTCACTTTTACTTTAAGTTTGCTCAGTCCATTTTGAATGTTGCAATTATACTGTGCCAATTGGTATCCGTATAACATTTCATTAAAAAAGATTTCATCTTTCTCTCCTCCCAATATACAGCTGCCAACATGTTGGCTTCATTATAATGGAATGTGTAATGTTGATTCATCAGTGGCAACCAATAAAGTAATTCATATCATTAAGTTTACCAGTGTTTCTGTCTTTGATCACCAGGAAGGCAGCAAGTTTAAGTGTGTAAGTGCAGCAAATATGAAATCCCTTATCATTGCTGAAAACAGAATTGTATAAAACACTGCAATACCAAAACAGACCATTCAGTCCAACTCATCCACATCAGTGTTTGTACTCTATCCCTCCCAATCCCTCCTCCACACACCTCTATTCCCTTCTCCCTCATGTATGTTTCAGAAGATGGTAAGTTTATTTCACATGAACATTAAATAAAAACGGGTTATCACACAAAGGCAACAGTCAAGTGCCAACTCCACGCCGCTAGAAGCCGAAATATGAAGTTGGGAGAACTGTCTTCAATTCAGCAACCGACACTTCAAGATCTTCCAGCCCAAGGAACAACTCTGCTTCCTGAGCAATTCTATCATGGTTGAGAAGCCCCAGCCCTCAGTATTCCAACACCTAGTTTAGATTATTGTTGAAATTGGGAAAACAAATAATTAAAATAAGGCATTTGTCAAGAATCAAGGAGGTGAGTCAAATTAGAAATAATCTGTGACGTTATGTGGTGTAACCATAGCATCTTTACTCTGAATAGACATCCCGCATAGAACACCTTTCCAAGTCTGCAAGTCAACATTTCTGAGAGCATTTACTCGGCCTTGTGTTTGTGTCGTTTTTTTTTAAAAATATGTCAATGCAAGATGAGCAACACAATTTTAATCCAGCATATTTCTTATCATAAATGACATTTGGTAGAATTGATTACTTTTCATTCAAAACACATGTTCAAAATATGAATAAAAATATACCATTCTAGATACGGTTCAGACACCCAAAAGTGACAATCAATGGTGCTGTATAGATAGCCTTTTAATGCAGATCTCCACCAATTCAGTTTCTCTCTCACCCTTCCCATTTCGCTGCCCTTTGCACTTTAGTACTGCATATCAGCACCTGGGCTTGTGCTTGAGAAAATAAATTACAAACTGAGATATGGTTACACCAGCATTCAAATTTTATGGGGCTCTCAGCACACCGTGTACATTATCCCCCAAACTCACAGGCATAGAGACAAACATAGGCAGAAGCTGTGGTCATTTTACATGATTTGTATCATTTGCAAACTGAATGATCCAAATGCAGAGTATTTTATATTGATTTGAGGAACGATATTGGTTCATTGGACGGCACATTTCAAAAGTGCAGTAAATTGCACCAGTGAAATGCAGTTAAAAATAAACTGCATTCTCGTTTTCCACCCAAAATTGTTTTAAATGAATTCAAGCCACTCTTTTAACAGTAAATGTTTTAAATGTTAAAAGAAAATGTTTCACCTGGTTCAGAAGGTATTTCCGCTTTCATCACAAACACCTCCCCCCACCCCCCACCTCTTATAGGATGCACATTTCACTGCTTACATTCCCTCTTAGACAGAACTAAATGGCTGAGCTAATGTTTATTTTGGCATGATTATGATCATGCTGTTCTCATGCTGACCACATTATCACACCATATTTGATTAGATTTGTTGCGCAGCGACTGCAAAATGGAGAGAATAGATGCTATCACTGTATCAAGTAATTACAATACAGAACACTGCATAGATGCTTTAATGCCTCCAGAGGTTGAATGACCTTGTTTTGTTCCATTTTGAAATAATCTAAACCCAGTGTAGAGCACATCTTTTAAACCAATACCCTGTCAAAGAACAAATTAAGGAAGCTGCAAGAGCAAGACTCCACTGAGAATCCTTAGTCTTCAAAACCCTCATTTCCAGCAGGTCAGCTTAAGCATCAGCCTTTCCCATTCCCAAAGAGGCACAGAAAGCAAAATATATCAGAAATCAAGGGCATGTTAAAAGTCAAGCAGAAGAATTTTTACATTTACCAGATGCCGATATGCCTGGGACACTGCTGATGGAAAATTTTAATGCAGCTCTCATCTTTGAAGTAGAATTTGATATAAAACGATACTCTTAAAGTTACAAATCCTGCTAGGAGACAATATTATTCAGTTTGCATATTTAAAAGAAACCTTAACCAAGTCACTTTGAATTAAAAGCCCACGTGTAAATTTTTAGCAGCATATACTGTGGTTCATTTTCTGCTGAAGTGCAGTGGGTGTATCTTGGGATGATATCACACTGAGTCAATCTGATTTTCTCATTTCCTTTCCCGTCATTGTTCAAATTTTACAATACCAGAAAGCAATAGATCACACACAGAAAGAAAAGGGCATCAGAATCTTCAAACCACAGTAGCAATTTCAAATTTACTAAGGTTATAACATTTGATGCCTTACCACCATAGAATTGCTTTAAGTCTTAATTTCATATTTAGAAACACTTTCAATTTTCAAAATTACATGCCATACAAGTCTATAATGAAAGAATATTCAATCTTTTTTTAAATATTGGTGCGAACTTTAAGTAGATTTCCTGGATCAGAACTTATTAATTAATAACTATTTGTATAGTGCTTTTCAGGTCTTTAGAATTATAATTGATTAGACATGAATTGAATATTACGTAGGCAACCACACACTGCACCAGCAATAACCCATTATTAATAAAGAGGTGAGCAGCCAATTCATTTGGATCTGGAGGGTAACACAAGCCAGGATAACAGGGAGAGGAGACCACATTAATGGTATGCATTACAAATTTATTACCCAGGGAATCTGATAAAAATACACTGTGGTTAAGTATTGCTCACACTGGAATTTTTAATATTTGTCCTGATTAAGATGACACAGATGAAAAGCCAAATAAATTGGCAATATCTTCACCAGCAAAAAAAAAGCAGTAAATGAGAACCAGGATAGATCACTTTTTTTTAAGCTGATGCTATTTGCCAACTATTTCACTTGAGAGTTGGTTTACAAGAATTTGTTCCCAAATTCTCCAAATTTCATATCACTTATAGAGACAGATAGTCATCTTTCAATCTTTACAATTACTATTTCTCCAGTCCATTTTCAATTTGGAAACAATAAAGGGGAAGTTTTAGACACAACCGTACTGTCATCAATTCCATGCGCCTTTACTTCAATTGGGTCCCAAAAACTTCCCCACCCAAAAATGGGGAAGTAGGGATTGCTAGCAGTACTGAATGCCACATCATTTTTATTTCTACATTGAGACAGTTATGTAGAAATAAGTGCCACATAAATAAAGATGATGGGGTCTATCCAATGCCACAACAGATTCACTTCCTGGACTGTTATTTAACTGAGCAGTTGGAGTGCCTAATACAGTTCTAAAAACTTTATGAACTGAATGTGGTAACCACAATGAAGCCACAGATTTAAAGACTCTGGAGTCAGTTTTCAGCTCAAAACCCAATTTTCTAAACATGAAACCCAGCTCCCCGATAGTGGAAAACCAGGGAAATTTGGTACTTAGAGCAAATAAAATGAATATGGAAGAGACAGCAAATATAAAAGCAGAAGTTAAACACATGACATTATATTTTGAAATCAGTGGTGGCATTGTCTAGAGTTCATAGTAAGTCGCTACTGTCCATTACCTATTTGGGAATTTTTTTTTAAAAACATTCTACATTGTGATGGAGGCCCCAATAGTACAGCAATTGGGGGTTCACCTTACCAACCTGGCAGCTTCCTCTGCTCGGCTGACATTGCTTCATGTCCCCCACCCTGCCCGTCCCACAGTGGTGTTTGAGCTTTCAGTCTATCTGCCCCCGTTCTCTGGAACTTTATCCTAGAGTTCCTTTAGCTCATCTCCTTCAAAGTCCATCTTAACACCTTCCTCTTTGACCATGCCTTCGGTCAAGCCCCCCGCCCCCCACACCGCCTTGCCCCCACACTTCCCAAATCCAAAGCCAATCTGCAGCTTGGACACACACCCTCCCCTTGGGGCATCCTCACGATCTAAAATGCAGTTTGTTATTGTTGTTGGCTTGCAAATCTGAAATTCCATTCTGTATTTTTTTTTAAAAAAAGATTTAAACATCACAAATGCATTTGGATGCCCAACTCGAAAAGAACATTTCACCCCTTCAAAATAGTAACAGCAACTTGGTTAAATAGAGGCACTGAAAATAATAGTACCACAGGATTCCCCCCATCATCTTTATTTATTATTGGAAGGATGACTGTAGTATTTGGGTTTGTTTTCACAAAATCACAAAAGTTTAAGCAGAGGACAGAAACAATTGAATAATAGCACATCGATTCTTGGATCTGGAGCAGTTCTGAATTAATAGATTTGAAAAAATCTCAAACATGAATCAAATAAAGAAACATCTCTAAGCTTTATCCCTGGGTTAGCAATGGATTTTTCTCTGATGGACACTTTACCGCACACAAGTGGTCTGATGCTACTGTCAATCATCAAAATCAGGATTAAGAATTCCACCAGACAAAGCACTGTCCAATGAAAGAATTCTAAGGCTTACAACTCTGAACGGCTTTTAAATGAAAAGTTGGATGCGCTAAAAGCTCAATACAATTCATACATGGCGCCAGCATTCCAAATAATTATCTTTCCATAGCAAAGTTTGCATGATAGTTTTTTGTTTATTGCCACATGAATGTGAAGACAAAATGAATATAACCATTGAAAAACAGATCACTTGTGCTTGCTAAATAGATATTGTTTATTAAGGCTTGTATTCTCCTAGAGGAAAGAAAATCAACCCAATGATGTTCATTTACCTTACAGGCAATATTTCATAGACATAACTAAAATTGTCTAAATATAAGTCTAAATGATAGTTTATTTTTTTAAAGTTGAGGTCCATTTTTGTAACTAGGTTCAGAAGAGTTAATTGTTTGCTTTCTAACGATAGTAAAGTTCCTCTACAATAAACACGTGCAAGTTTCTGTGTACTAAAGCAACAGGCATGAGCACCGTTTCATGCTTTATCCAGTCGGTAGCAATTTCAATGGTTCCCTCATTCCACAGAACATACAGTACAGCAAAGTACAGCTTTCAGACAGAAAAAACAATCAAAATATTTCATCCCAGAAGAATCAAGAGACGTTTGCATCAATTTTTATATTTGAGACATGAACCATCGTTTCCACTATTTGCCCCTACATTAAAGCTCAGCTTTACAGAAGGAAAAAAATGGCCTTGGGATTTTCATGAAAGAATGTAAATTAACAGCGACTCAAAAAGAACACCAGAAAGCTCAAAGTTAACACACATATCACCAAAAACTAGTAACGTTGAAAGCATCACATCATCCAAAACTACATAAGGCTGATGCAGTAATATTTCCCATAAAAGGAGCACGAAGAGCTCATCTTCTCAGGATTGCTAAACAAATGCAGGCTAAAGCTTCAGTGTAACAGAAGTTACCAGTGACTGCTACAGCATTTAGGTGCAAAATTACAAACAAAATGCAGACCAGTCTGGGCAAAAAAAGGAGAAAAAAAGAAATGTATTAAAAACGTGATGTAGCTTAATTCCCCTGCACATAAAGATATCACTGGAGCAGAAAGCTTTGATTTTTTTTGTTCTGATGCTGGATCACAACATCAGGTTATCAGTTTTGTTAGTTCATCAAGTCAAATGTTTTCTTATCATTTGTTTCGATTCAGGCGCTCCTGCGGAGAAAGAGAAAGATTAAAACATGTAAATTATCAAAAAATCAAAGCAATTGTGCATAAAATAACTATCAATCATCCTTTTCAGATTCTCAAACAATTTTCTTTTTTAAAAAAAATTCTCATGGTTTTAATTTGACAAATGGCTATTAAAAACATCAAACCGTTATTTATGATCATAAGTGTCAATGTGAAAGTTTTAGAAAACATGACATATGGTTAAACCACTTTTCTTTTTTAAAATCCGCACGAGTGCTGTGGTGTACTTAGAACTAAATCCCAGTCCTCAGACCAAACGCTTCATCTGAACACGCAGAGCATCTGACTTACAGACACAAGTAATACCACTCGTGTTTTCATTTCAAAAAGATTCTCATTAGTTTTGAGTTGGGCTGTCAGTGACTAGTGAAGCATCTGGAAACAACTGTATGCCCTAGAGTGACTTTAAATCGACCAATTTAAAAGTATAAATTATGAGAAATGAGACACCGTGAGTCATTGTCTTACTGTGATGGTTCCAGCATGTTGGACCTTTTAAGGAAATAGTAAGTCATCCACCTCACCAGGAGACCTTCCTTTTTTTTTTTACATGTTACACACTACAGTAATAATCAATTGCCATTAACTTTGCCTAGCAAAAACAATTTCAAAAGTTTTTACAAAGTTTTTTTTAAGGCCAAATCCCTGTACACACACAAATCCCTTCCTCTATCTGCATCGAAGGGCGATTGGACAATGAACAAAAGTTGGCATGTGATGATCACTTCAAGAAGCAGTGACCCCATATTCAGCAGAAATCCCAGAGAAATCAAGTGAGAATAGACAATGGCCAAAAGATTTTTTTTTAAAAACTGCAGATAAGGCAAAAACCTTATCTGCAGATTTAGAATGGGAGGTCACACAATAGGACACAGAGAAAATGGAAGCAGTTTGTACTTTGCTCTCACACAAGATCAATGGTTTCTGAGATTGGTTAATGATTCATTCATTTCTAAACCACCTCCTATGGGAGCATCCTAAGCAGCTAATGCTGGCATTTACACTGACACTAAAACACAAACTATGAACCATTTTTAATGTCTGTCTTGGCACCACTATACCTGGCTAAAGAGGTGATCCAGATCAACAAAAGGACCAACACGTAGAGATTTTAAGCTTCATATTAAAGCTTACCCAAGCAAACAAACAGGACAAGAGCTGATGTTTGGCTGACGGGACCCACATGGCTCAAAGCCAAAGAGAAGCGAGATGATGAAACGCATGCATAAGACAGTTCAGAGAATCAGTTATACCATCAGATACATCAAGGCACCAAGACAAGATTATTATGAGTAATTCTAAAACAGACGCCAGGAAGTTATTCTTTACACAAAGGGTAATCAACATTGAAATGAGTTACCAGAAAGAGTGGCAGAGATCAGAATACTGGCTCATTTAAGAAACAGTTTGATGTCTACATGGGAAGATGATAGGGTTAGTATTCTTGAAATAGAAGATAAAATGGGCTGATTCACCTTCTTCTTCATCTGAATTTATCATGTGATTTGGTTCAGGTACTTTGGATTTTTTGATCAGTGACAGTAATTTGTCCCACAGGTTTAAAATTCTTTGGAATTTTTTTGACAAAATGGGAGGTGCTCGTGAAGTCAGCAGAAAGGAAAGCCTTCCTGTAATTAACCCAATTTTTAATGCTAGAATTTCAAAATACACGTATGGGCAGGGAAAATTGTGCTTTAAAGGCTGAAAATGGACAGTACCGAGTGCACCACAAACAAGCGATACCAAGAACAGGAGAAAGAACTGGACAGACCATATAAGGTACAATATAAGACACAGAAAAGAGGCAAGGTGTGCAATGCATTCTTAATGGAATAATATACTCAAAACAGGGCAAGCTGGCTTCAGGTGGATACCAATTTTATGGAGGAAACAAAATAGAAAATTTCATTTTTGATTTTAAAAAGATTAAATGGGGATATACAGATTTTCATGAAAACAAGTTACTGCATTAAAATAAATAGGAACCTTTTAACTTCCATCTCCATTTTAGAAGACATTTACTTCCCCCTCAATTTTTCCCTTACATTATGCAACATTGATTAACAAGAATGATGTGTCTGGTAATGTGCTACTTGATCTCCATCAATCCCACTCTAAATCATGGTGATATTTCTCCTTTCCCAAACTATCTAACATGCATCAGGAAGACAAAGACACCATAAAGGAGAGAAAGCTAAGATCTGCCTCACACTCAGTGTCATGTTGAGAGCTCCTCTTAGTCCACGTGCAAGTGTTTACTCACATTAAAGTGTGGCACTTAATTGATTTTTTTTAAAAAAAAGGTGGATACATTTACCAAACTTTGTGATGGATTTTATAATTATACTATTTTTCTATGGCAGCTGTTCAACACGAGGACTTCCTTCTCATGTCCTCGTGGTTGATTTGATCTCTGGGTCTAAGAATAGGTTATGAACCATTCCTGAAATACTTCAGTCTTTGCGGCCTCTTCCAACGTTTATGCGGTTTTCTATCCTCGACTAAAAAAAACTGTCAATCACTCTTTAATTTTTTTAAAAAGTAAGATTAGCAGTAAAGGGAAATGTTAACAATTGCAGAATACTAATAGAGAAAGGTTAGAGAGGCCAAGCTAACCAACCGACCGACAGACAGACAGACAGACAGACATCTGCCACAAGATACCAGTCTGGTCTGAGTAGGATCGGCTTCTATTATTCTAATTCTGGATTACAAATCCTAAGAAGGTAAGCTTCTGAAGTCCAGAACGACTTTTAATTATTTTTTTCATCATATTTACCTTGTAAATAATGAGTAGCCACTGGCAGAGAAACTTTGTCCTAGAAAGTTAAAACAAAAAGGCATGTCCAATTGATTTTTCACAATGTGTATTATGATAAGTAACTTAAATCCCATACACCAAAAGGACTATTCAACGAAAATATCTCCCTCGTATCTATAAATCAGCAATCGCCATTGTGCAAGTAACTGAACTATACTTTCACAAATACTTTACTTTAATACATTTTCTGTATATACCCATTACAATGCTTTGAAAAAAAAATCTTTGTCAAATAAAGGCTGAATCAGATGTGCCATGTATTTGTGGTTATTGGTTTTAAGAAAGCAATATTATACAAGACCAATGTGATTTATAATTAACTATTATTGTGGGGAGCTCTGACATTCAATACATTTAATATCTTTAAACCATTTCTTTTAGCGTATGTCTCACTTGCTCTCCTTTCCCCACCCACAAATTTAGGAACCCTTGTCAAGGTTTTTCTCCTCAGTCAGAACAATCCACGGCATAGATATTTTCACAAGTCATGTTAATGTCCCGTCTTTTAAACCCAGCCAGAGCTGACAATTTACCAACTAACAGGACAAACCAGTGTGATTGCCAGTAGATAAACAGTCATGCAGATGAAAGCAAAAACTAAAAAAAAGGATGGAATGGCCTACTACTGTATGATAGATTTGGGATTTTGTTCTTAAAAGGTAGGGACATGCTTAAAGTCCTGAAAAATATCAGTACAGCAAAGAAACAAACCCAGTTATAAATATGGCCAACAATTGGCTGGCCTGAGCTCACTAGCTGAGTGACACTGAGCTACATCAATTTACTGCTAGGAAATGGTCAGATTTTGGAACAAATTCTGAAGGAAGTAATTACAATGGCAACAATAATTAAAGTTTTGTTCCCTATGATTAAACTTAAAAGCTCAGCAAATATATGAATACCTTTTCTAGCTTGCTAGGTTGAAACATGGACCAAACATTTATATCGAATGAGAAAAATTAACCTAAAAATCTATAAAGTACCATAGAATTACAAATTAAAGACAGTGTGAAATCAAATATATATTTTAAAAAACCAATATATTCTAATGCTGATGACCCAGTGAATTTTAGTTTATCTTTCCATTAAAGAAATTCCATGATTAAAAAAATGGAATGGAGTTATTCAATTAATTAAATTAATTTAACTAAAATATCAAGACTTTAAAATAGCCCAAGGATTTGAAGTTATTCAAGAATGTTACAAAAATATTCAGCAATAGTTGTCCACTGAACTAAAAAGAAACAGGCCTATCCTATTCAAGCCAGACTGTAGTATCTTAATATTGTATATATATATATTTTTCTTTTGGTCCTGTTTCTATGCAGATGTTATGGGCAAACGAAAGGGAATATCATTGGAAATTTGAATGATCACAAACTTTTGTGTTTGTTAAGTCTCAGGTTCCATAAAAAAAATTGCTAAATTAAATCGAAATGACCGAAATGTAACAGTCTAATATTCTACTGTAAAGATTATGGAAAATCCTCTAAATTAACATTGCTCATTACTGATTTGCTGCCTCTGCTACAGGATGAACCAAGGTAGCAGCAATATTTTTGCTTTACAAGCAACGAACCAAAATAAGTACACTGTAAATATGTATTTGACTATAAAGATTTAAACTTCTTCAAACACAATTGAATCACTAAATATACATGTATCAAAATATAGTGAATGTTACTGCTGGACATGAGGAGTTTGGTTCCCGTGAATGAATATCAGAAAGGAATCCTCCACCACCAATACTAAAATTTGGCCACTAGCCCAAAACAATGCGCTTTTAACTGAATTTGTAGCCACTGTTTTGCAAATGAAACTTGCACTGTTTTAATTACTTGAACTGTCAGTCCCGCCAAAACAACAGCATAACTATATGCCTGCCATGTGGCTTAAGTTTAAAAGTGGCAGTACACCGCATTGTATCACACCTAAATTGTCACTTTGATGGTTAAGAAAAACTAACGGATTTTAGTGCTTGAATTATCAACTGCCTGCACTTGAAATTATCAACGACTATTTCAAAGTACAAGGAAATGTTCACAGCAGACCGAGCATCTACAAATGTGCACCAGTTATGTAACGTTATCAAAACGAGTTAAACTACAAACACATCACATAAGAGAAACATTACTACTGGAGAGTCGATGAGGGGCACCATAAAAAAATCACTTAGCATTTTATATGGAAGATCCCCCCACCATGTGAGGAACAGTTATTAATTGAAGTGTCCTTCTCGGGACCAGTAGACTGTCATTTTGCAGAAATACCTTGAAATGATGACTCCTGCTACAGAAGTAGGAACATCAGCGTGGGAGAATCCTCCACCACCAATACAGTGCCATTTAGTCGTCTACTGATAGATAGCGTGGGCCATAGGCACTCATTTGGTAACAGACATGCCCTCTGCCTGACAATTTCTAAAAAGTATTCGAATATAGGGAACACTAGTCTTCTGCATTCCATGTATCCCTTCAATTATGATTTGTTTTTTCAAAGATGTGGAGAGGGAGAAGATGAGCTTTGCTTTAAATAAAATCCTGTGAAATTTATCAACAAGGATTTATATTGGTAACACTTCCCCCCATAGTAATATTTATTTACTATGATTTTCAATGCACCACGTTTAGGAATTTAGACACATTTCAATACATATCTTTAAATACACTTAACAGCATTTTCAGTTACATGTTGTGCATGGGATTTTTGCATAGTCTGAAGTAATTTGGATTAAATGATTTTGTTCATACCTACTTTCAAGTTTGTGAAATTACCTGCAGATTATTACATATAAGTGAATAAAGATGAGAAGTTTATAGTTAAACACTGCTAAAAATGTTTCCAAGTACATTATGTTTGTAATTCAAATCTAGGATTGAAATTTACGGTGGAGTTTTGATTGCATTCCCGAGCATATGTTGTGGGTAATTTAACCAGAACTTCAAACATTTTCAACAACTGTAATTTTAATTTCATAGATCATGAACACAATGCATTACATACAAACTTCAAGAAAATAAGTATATTATTTTGTAAAGCAGGTGAATACAATAAGAATCTTCTGAAACTTGCCATATTTGAAATAGTGTTTCAAAGGAGATGCCAATTATTCAGTCAAATGATCATCACTATTCTATCAAAAACCTATGACAACTATTCAGCTAAATAATTTCTAAATGTTTTCTCTCATTTCTCACTTCCCAGGAATCGAAAATTCAAACCGTAAAACATTAAAAACTTAAGTGTGATGGGTGGGAAGGAGTACACTGCCAGAACTTTTTCAATTATTGTAGAATACTCCTATTCTGAAGAGTTCTAAAGACTATTTGCCTCATTTTTATTCTGCAAATGATCCTGAAAAGCGACATGTTTTACAATCCCACATGCAATGCAAATTGCAACAGCTATAGATAATTTTAGAAAAAAACTGTTATAGTCTCTTTCTTACGCAACAATCCAAAGTTAAATTGGTTAGTGAAATTTAAGCCTAATAAGTGCAACTACTTCACAGAAAGCAAACTCTACACCAAAATGTCAGCATCATCTAACGGCTGAATCAGAAACGTACAATTGGCGCAACTTGACTTACCTTACGCACAACTTCCTCCTCTTCCTGACGCTTTTCATAATGTGAAAAGTCATCAAAAATTGAGGTGGTATGCTTGTAAGTAGCAATAATTTTGAGCACTTGCTTGGCTTTCTCTAAAGGAACCTCCTGCGTGTCCCGAGAGTTAGTGACTGGTTTGTTATCATTGTTTTCCAAACGAATGTGCCTCAGTTGGTTATTGGGCACGTCCTTTACAAAGATCCACTTTACGTCAAATTTGCCCTTCCACTTGTCCTGTGACCAAACTCCGGCACATGTACCGTAGTCCACTGCCGATTTCATTTCTGCCACTCCACAAAAATGTCCACTGCCATTTACACTGAACAACAAGTAAACCGGACCTTTCCCAGCCATCGATCGATAAGCACTGTCCAAGCGTTTGTTGCCGTGCTCGGTGCTGCACCAGATGGAGTACTTGATGGAGCGATGGATGTCATCCTCAGAATAGCTCTTGATGATAAACACCCGGCCATTTTTAAGATTCCAGTCAAAGTCTTTTGGGTTGTAGCTGTAGGCAGCCTTCAGTTTCTCGAGGACGGGATGAGTTTCGTTGCTCGGTGGAGAGCTAATGGGTGCGTTACCTGCTGTGTTGTTTTCATTACCAGTTCCACTATTCTGACCGAATGCTGCACCTCTATTGCGAGGGGCTACCCAGCGGTTTTGCGGTGGTTGCTGAGGATTGGGATACGGTTGCTGTGCCAGTTGCAGTTGCTGAACTGGAGGGGGCTGGGTTACCTGCTGCTGAGGAACTGCCTGAGTATTCGGGGCCTGCTGCGCGGGAGCAGCTTTAGGCACAGGTCCTTTGTTGTCCCAGGTACCAATGTCCATATTGTGTTTTATAGGGGGTGGAGGTAATGTGGAACCTCCTACTGCTGCTCCAGTCTTTGGTTTTAGTTTTGGTTGAGGCTTAGCTGGTTTACTCGCAATGGCAGCCCAGGATGTTGGCTTGGGAGCTGATACACCAACTGTTGAGCCACCATCCCCAGGTGCGGTGTTGGTCATCCCTGGACTGTTTACAACAGATCCTACAGTCTTCACGCCAGAGGATGTCACACTTCCACCAATCTTTAGTCCAACCATGCCCTGTTCAATGCTATTCATGCCTGGTGCCTTATTCAAAGTATCATTGGGAAATCCTGCCTGTCCATCTACAATTGTTCCACCCAAAGAACTAGGTGGGTAACTATAGCTACTGCCATATGCTGAGCTCTGTGTTTGCTGTCCCTGAGATCCGCTTGTTCCCCAAGCAGAGAAGCTTGGGTTTTCAGGAAAAAAGTTGAATCTATGTTGGTTCAAATAAGGGGTATTACCCAATCCCCCAGGCTGGCCAAATACAGCATCGTGCATGAAATGATGATCTCCATTGCTCAGCTGTCCATAGGTCGTTAAATATGGAATCGGAGGGTCTCCACCGGTGGACCAGGGCGCTGCTTCACTAAGAGAATATGAAAATCCAATGGACGGGGCATAATAACTTGACAGATATGGGTCAGTCATTGAAGGATAGCTGTTGTTCTGTTGATTAAAAAAACTAAGATTAAAGAGCCACAGTATATTATTTGGAGTAACACATTCATAATATTTCAATTCTCTCTCCCATGTAGTACCTTGTCTCTTTTAAAGACCTTTTAATAATTATTAATAGTAAAATCACCAATTCAGTGAATTTTAAAACCGATTTTTTTAAAAAAAACTATTACAAACTCTACCAGCACCATCATTTTGCTTTGGGACTGCATATATAATTTCCTGTCCGAAAAAGGGACAATGAATTTCAATGAGGGTTCACAATACAATATAGAGATGTGGATTACATATTGATTGGTAGGTTTGCTAAAGTACTATATCAGGGTGAGAGAAGAGACAAGGATGACCTGTTAAACTGCAACCAGTTTGCCAAAACACATACATATTGTTTACCCGAATTCAATAAAATTGAGCATTAACAGGAAAAGAAAATCAAATTTCAACAATATTTCGTATTTTTGTGTATAGTTATCCAACATCAATCAAAATTCTTAAGTCTGAAAATGTTGCAATGTTATTGTCACTAAGCAGTAATGTTTCAGGAGATCAAAATCACTCAGGTTACTATTGATTAGAGACAAAGATTCAAACCCTCCTCCATTAAGTTTCTGAGAAGGGCAGACATCTTCCTATGGGAAAGGGGTGGGGGGGGGAAGCAAATAAAAATTGTGTGTGGGGAGGAGCTTAAACTTTCTTTTCACAAATTTACCAAGCAACAGATCCAGTCCTTCATCAGAAATCAGAACAAATCAGTAATTTCTGGAAATATAGTATTTTAAAATCTCAGTTTAAAATGTTGCATCCAGTGATTGCAATGTTCCTTGCAAAACTAAATGTACTGTAGTACCTTAATCTTATTCCAGATGTGAAATGAGAAGAAATGGTATGCTGACCTTATAAAGTGATGATGCATATACAGACTATTTTTTCCCTAGTTGTAATGTTAGCAATGGCACTGATGAGTGCAAATTAGGCAAGGAGGTGCCATTTTAACATGCATCTCTAATATCATATACAGTATCAGCTACCAGATGTAATGACAATCTCCAGATTGTTTAGTGCATCTGGTCTGAAATTCCAGTTGATATTAAGCATAGCATCTTTGGTGCCTTTGCTGGCAGTAACAGCTTTGTGAACAGGATATACTGTAAAGTATACAGTATTATTATTATGACAACATACTTTGTCGGTGATAATACAACTGAAGTCACCACATTTTGTTTTGACCTAAATAAACAACCAAACAGGAAGTGCTCACATAGTTGTTTAAAGACATATTTCCCACGCAAGGCATTATGCATCATTTGGGATTCTAAAAAGCCAACGTAACTGAACAATTATGGTTCTTGCCCTGAAAAAGAAGACAATGAGTCTCCGAAACCCAACGTTTATATAATTCAGCCAGAAATCCCCCCTTCTAAACATTATCTAATGCCCTGTTGTATATGGGCACCAAGGACAGGTCGAAGCTCAACTTTGATGTCTCCTCCCCTTGTCCTCCCCCCCCACTGCCTCCAATATTCAAACAACGTGTTAACAATCCCAACTGTCTGAGTTCACAGATAAAACCTTGACCACTTGGGAAAAATGTGGGGGTGGCCCTGGATCTGTAGCAGAGTCATCGTCTAGGAAGCTTAAGTGGTTTCAGGAGAGGAGAAATTGGCCAAAAACAGATCCTGTCTCATCATAGATGTGCAGTTTTAAAATAAAATGAAGAAATTCCCTTCCCTTATTTGTGGAATTCAACCTAGTGATGCAACAAGATTGCAAATAATAAACAAGCTCTGTGATGAAAGTATGGTATGATATTACACTATGACTAGACAGTAAAGGATAGAATAGAAATCCAGAATAGCAACAGATTACCCTGTAAATGTACTTGAAAAACAGGCTTTGTGACATACTGTAGAATCGGGAGATCTCTGCTTTTACAGAAGTTTCACAGCACGGAACTGAATTACTATTCTCAAATTAACTTAAAACAAACAGACCTTTGGCTACTCCTGCTTGTGCTGAGACACTTTGTAGCCCTCCCCCATGGCAATTATTACAATTTTAATCAGTCCAGATTAAAAGAAAAACAAATAACAGGACCTATTTTAAACAAACAGACGCTGAAACAATGTTTTCAAGCTGATAAGCAACAGAACACACTGGCGCCAAGGCTGCGTATACCTATTGTATGTTACAATGCCTTGTTCAGTGATCAGAGATTCATGTCTCACCTCAAGGTGTATCTGTACTTTATCATTCAACATATGTTCAACCTCCTCCTTTACCATTGATACATTATAAAGGCAAATATTCAAATGCTGGCGCCCTTTCAGTAGCTCACCGAAATGGACATTTTTCGTACGAGAACCAAGACAATAAGTGTCAAGCAAATTATTCAATTGTAAGAAGAATTCCTAGTCAGGGACATTAAGGCCACTTGTAATGTGCTCACCACCTGCCTCGCTGAAACCTGCAGTCCACAAGGTGAACGTGGGACTTTCCTGATTTGTATAATCAGTATCAGATGGTGCTCTTACAGTAAACATTCCACAATTTTAATAAAGTTGCATACAAATTCTGAAAAAAAAAATTTTTCCAGTAGAGGATAAACTTAGCACACTGTGGAGTTTACACAAGCTTAATAAACACTTCAGCTATACCTTGTGGTTTGGATATTTATCGGACTCTGTTAATGCCCTTGTTCACATTAACAGTTTAATTCCTAAGCTTTCTGGGAAAAAAAGCATCCATTAAAATAGTAAGAAATTGACAAAATCTTAAGGCCTGGCAACTGGAAAGCTTCAGGATATCAACAGATATTTTCTTTCCCAAAGTTTTTATTATTCTGTAAGACCATCACTAACCCAGTGAAGATAATTTGACAATGACATGGCTTTCTGCGTTGGACAAAGCTGGAGCATAAAACTGTGCTCGTTAGCCACAAACATTACATCTGCAGTGGTTAATCACATTTTTTAAAAAAAAGTTAGCCTTATTAAATCCAGTCCAGACATCATATGTGTGAGGAAGATGAGGTTATATTAATGATCTCAGTTATGCATGTACAAGTTATTTTAGTAATGAGCCCTTTAAGACCAACTAAAAGGTCAACTGATCAAGTGACATTTGATGTAGCAGCCGACACCACATCTGAACCTAATGATTAAAATATGTTTTCTAAAAAAGGGCATTCCAAACAAAGTCATTCAATTGCATGGTTTAAACCATTGGCTGAAAGAATCAGGGGGTTTTCTTGGGGGAGGGGGCGAGGGCGAAGAGAAGAAGAGAGATAGAGAACGAGAAGAGAAAGTTAGGTATTTGGCTCTTATTGAAGAGTGACTTTTGGCTGACAAAGTGAATCGCTTGGAAATAAAGCCATGCGGAACTTGTACAGAAATAGATAAGTTAGAATCAAGCAATACATTATAATCAGTTCATCTAGAACAAAGAAGAAGGTCATCAGCTCAGAAGAGCAATGGTGTTGAAGCAGGTTAGTTTTAACTACATCATTAAGAACATGGCATCCTGGAACAGTTTGCCGAGCGAGGGAAGCAGTCAAAGTGAGATGGGAGGCGAAGACAAAGGAACGGTAAAGAAAGAATTAGAGGTATTTAGAAAATAGGACTGCAATTAAACAATGGCATTTTCAAATCTTCTCTATTCTTTGAAAAACTCATTTTTTAAAAGCCTAACTTCCTTCATACAATTCAGTCTTGTTTTAAAAACATAAATACTAAATTCACTGACTCGATACTCGGTATTTTCTGCTTGATCAAAGTACAGAATGGAAAATTAATTCCATACAACAAAAACAAAATTGCACTCAAGTTTGCCACCCCCCCCCCCCCCACCCCACCCAACCACCATATTAAAACCTTTCTGGCTTCATTAAAAAAAAATCGAGGGGGAGTGAGACATTAATTTCACAGAGCACACACAATTGGGGATTATGTACATTTTCCAATTTTAAATTCATACCCAATCAGATTAACAGGAAAACAAATATATTTAATGCATTTATGTAACTAAATGGTTACCTAACTAAAAGTAATTTTCGTGAAATTAAATGTCAAACACCAGCAGTTATTTTACAAACTGTATCTATCATACCAATTAAGATTTTATGTATCCAAAGACACATTATAGTCAGTTTCGCAACAACAAAATTACATTTGAATAGCGCTCTTCACGTCGGGAGGACCCAAGGCGCTGGACAGTCAGTGTTACGGACTCGAGCTGCGGGTTGGGATTGGGGAGGGTGGAGAGGAGGGGGTTAGCAGGGTGATCGAAAGCACGGTTGAAGAGGAGGGTCTGGAGTTTTATTCTCTATTATACAAATTAACACAGCTACAAATTTAGTTTCCAAGTGAATTGTTGATTTTTTAAAAAAACATATCCACGATAATTATGAATAAGTACCTTTGGAATATCTGAGTTATTTTGCACAATTTAGTTAGAATTTCACTTATTAAGTCTAAGTCAAATTTTTTGAAAACCAAAACTATCTGCCCTTTTCAATTAAGTGGTTATGGCTCACAACTACCGCCACCGCGATTATATTATAATAATAATAATCCTTGCATTTGATATAGCGCTTTTCACGTCGGGAGGACGTCCCAAAGCGCTTCACAGAATATACTGTAAAGTGAATTGACTGTATATTTGTGGGCGAACGCGGCAGCCAATTGCGCACAGCAATGTCCCACAAACAGTCGTAGATTGAAAATGACCAATTTATTATTGTTTTGGGTTTGGAGGGATTATTATTAGGCTCTGTGTGGAGTAAGGAAACTTGCCCAAGGTTTCGCCCTCTGCCTGGAATTGAACTCAGGTCTCTCACTTGCAAAGCGAGTGTTCTAACCACTGAGCTACAGGACTCCACAGCATCCAAATGTATTAATTAAATGTTTAGATATTAACATTTATGGCTTATTACTCAAACACTTGCTTTCCTGCCACAATTAGATAGGATTTAAGTAAATTTAGGGGGACTACTCGATAGCACAGAAGTGCTCTGTGATACCCAAAGTGACTTCAGCAACACTTTGAGCGCGTAGTCCAGCTGCAGGAAGTGATATCACTAGCACTTTCCCGCAGAAACGCAGGAAGATGGACAACCAGTGCCAAAAGTGTACCGCGTTTCTGGTTTTGCATTGGTCCACAGTAAATCCTTGCTATACGGGAACTTATTCAAAATCAGAGCATATAGCAAGAGTTGCTTTATATTTCGCACCAATTAGTTGTTCACAATAAACAAACTCATAATGTTATGGAGTCATTTTACTAATACAATTAAATTCTGGTTTGAAAAATAAGAAGTTCAAAAAGAGGATGTGTTGTGTACATTGATTTTCAACAAAATGCCAAAGTGCAGTTATTATAATTACCTATTTTAATGAGTGACTAACAGATACAAGCTTCATTGCAAATGTTAACTAACAGCCAGCCATACCATTGCTCTATTCACACTAAACAAATGTTGCATAGAGTTTTGAAATCACCTACTTAGTTTCCCAAACAAAGAAGGGTGATGGCATTGCTGTATTATGTTACACTTTGAGGGCCAAAAATATTTTATTTTAAAAGTTTGAAATTTTTTAAACAAGGATCTGTGATCAGGCAAAGGCTGTGGAATCAAGTGAATTCTTTCTTTGTACACAGCAATTAAAATTGACCAAATTGCACACATTTGTTTTGAAATTTAAATTTGTTCCAAAAGTGTTTTTTTAATACTTTTTTTTACCGGCATGATCTAAAGTACAGAAATACATTTGTTCCTTGAAAATGTTATTGAAATAGCTGCAGACCCGATTATAATTTACCTACAACGCAACACCTTGGGGAGCAAATCCAGGTGCAATTTTGTTAGTAGGATAGGTGGTCCCCTATCCAATTCAAGTATTCAATTTATTGGTGAGAAAAATAATGGAAAGTAACTATAGAGGGACTTATGTGTAGACATTCGTTAAAAGCAACCGGATTTCAACAGTTGATGAATGAATTAGTCATTTTTGTATAGATGCTCAGAAAAAGCATACCAACTACTGTATTAGGCTTTTAGATAGCAAGATTTCAGTACACAGGATGCATATCCTGTCCCAAGTTCAGCAATATTCAATTTTCATACTGCAGATACAATGCATTAACTGGAATAATGAAAAGGCTATGAGAAAACTAATGCGTTTGTAAAGAATAGCTTATTAGAGTTAAAGTCCTGTATTCCAAACCACAATCAACACTCTCCAAAAGTAGTAATTGAATGCAAGGACCTTACAGTTGGGGGCACTGGTTCCAGTTCAAAAACATTTCAGCAGATCTTTCTGAGCAGCCAATCATTTTGATCCATTTCAAAGAGCTATACTGTAATTATTTTTATTCCTGTTAAGACTTTAAAACTATTTTTTTAACATCTGAAATAACTAGTACTCAACAATAACATCTATACTGTGTAATGAATTTCTAAAATAATCTACTGATTTAATTTCTCCCACCCCACCTATCTTTCCAAATATTGATAATAAGATTTCAAGATAATGTCATGTGATAATTATAATTAGATTTTGTATCAACAACGTGATCTATTAGTAGTGCAGCAAAGCACCTGCAGTTAGTAAGTGAAAGTAACATCTTTCAATAGGAAGATAATTTTATTGCTGCATAATATTTTATAACTGCAGAATTACTATTGCAACTCATCATCAATAGAGTCAAACTAACCTGGTTTAAAGTACATTTGCATGACAAGGCCCACAATCAAAATATGTTATAATTTTGCTTAGAAGTAGAAAGCACAATTAAAAGTTAGGGCTATATTAAAACGCTCTTAATTATGAATATATAACAGAAATTAAGGCAATAGAGATTAGTAAGTGCCATTTACATCACCACACATTTAGTGCTGGTTAATAACTTTGCATCCACATAGTGAACATATTGAAATAAGGTTAGAAAAGTTACTAGCATAAACATTACCTTTCCAGATCTACCGTAACCGGGCCCATAATCAAATAATACCTGTAACAGTAATGTTTCATTCCTTAGAGTAAATCTGCATCCAAACAAATTAAGACACTGCTTGCAATTTGTAACATTAAAACAAGTTTACAATAAAATGCACAGATTACAAGATTCTTTACATTGCTCATTTGCTTACCTCCCAGAGAATCACAGGTTAAAAACTTTGTGCACTTTCCACTTTTTATAATTCATTACAATCGAATCAGAAAAATAAAGGATTGTGTTCATTAGAAAATCCAACGGAAAATAGGCATTTTAAACTCACCTGATTAGACTGGCTACTTAGGTATGGCTCAAAATCGTTGTCATGAACCGTGTCCTTTGGATGCAATGAACCATTTTGCACTGGGGGAGGGGGGGGAAAAGGAAAAAAATAAAAGATCACATTAAATGTTGATGTAATGTTACATCCCTCCCCTCCCTCTCCCCCCACCCCCCTCCCAAAAAAAGGCGTTTAGTGCAAATCGTTACAATAACAAGAAAAAAAAATACAGTATATCCTAAGTTTCATTCAATAGTTCGAATGCGTGTTTGTGTGTATAAACATATAAAAACTCCTCGGAACTGGTTTTCTCGACACAGGAAGAAACCGAGGGAGCGCAGCAATGACGTCCTCCCCTTCAGTACAAATCATTCCTAAAGCTGGAAGGCCGATCCCTCCTCAATCTGGGCATCAACTTGGCCTTAACTCCCTTAACTTTACCGAGCATCTACCTCCCTGCCAATTTTATTCCAACAACGGATCACCAGCAAACGGGAGGAGGGAGGGAAGGAGGAGAAAGAAAGAAAGAGAGAGAGATACTGATCTCTTTCTTACTTGGATCCTTGACTGGGGAAAGGGTGGAAGGGGGGGGGGAGAGGAGAGAGACACACAGAGAGAAATAAAATAAAACCCCGACTCATGGCCAACTTTGCATGTTATCTATCACCTCCCTCCCCCACAACCACGACAGACCAGGTCGGTCCGGTCCAGGCCAAGGCCAGGCCAGGCCAGACGAGCTGAGCTTTTACCTACCTTTATTCTCCTGTCCCTTTGGTCTCTGTAGCGTCGCCAGACATGGATGCGAAAGGGTGGCGGTGGTGGAGGTGGAAGGAAGAAAAAAAGACATTAGTGCAGGGGTTTCCTTTTCTACACACACACACACACACACACACAGCACAATAAAATCAAACAAAATTACGAGGCGGATTTCTAACACACTGTGTCTGCCTTTTCTGTTTGTGTATGGAAGAGGAGGTGGTGGGGGGGGGGAGAGAGGGATTAAGAGGTGGGGGGGGCAGGGGGAGAAGGATTAGGGGGTGGGGGGGAGAGGGATTAGGGGGTGGGGGGCAGGGGGAGAGGGAGGTGGTGGGGAGAGGGATTAGGGGTGGGGGAGAGGGATTAGGGGGTGGGGGGGAGAGGGATTAGGGGGTGGGGGGAGAGGGGGAGAGGGAGGTGGTGGGGGAGAGGGATTAGGGGGTTGGGGGGAGAGGGATTAGGGGGTGGGGGGGAGAGGGAGGAGGTGGTGGGGGGAGAGGGATTAGGGACGGGGGGAGGAGGTGGGGGGGGTGAAAGAAACCCAAGAAGGATGATGGACAAGATGAAGATGAAGAAGGGAAAAACAACAAAGAATGGCTACTATCCCAGCCCCCCCCGCCCCCCCTCCACCCCACTCCTACCCCCTCCCCCACCCCTACCTACCTGGGGGTCAACGCTTGTCGCAGACATCATTCATCAATGGCCTCTTCCCAAAACCCACTTCGCCTCACAGTCAGTCACAGTCCGCGTGTCCCGGGGGTGGGGGTTGTGTGTGTGTGTGTGAAGGAGAGGGGAGAGGAGGAGGAGGAGGAGGAGGGAGAGAGAGAGAGAGGGGGGGGGGAGGTTTATGTGTGTGTGGAGGGGTCCGGGGCGAGGGAGGAGGAGGATGGGAGGGGGGGGGGAGGGGGTTACGTTAGGTTCTTGACTGAGGAGACGAGTCGGTTTGCAAAGGCCGAGAATCTCGAGGCTTTTTTCTCTCTCTTTTCTTTTTCTCTCTCTCTCTCTCGCGCGCTCTCCCCCGCCCCCCTCCCCCTTCTTTGAAACCAGCTCCTTCGGACGGATTCCTCAGACGTTTATTAATCCAATGGCGGCCATACTCAGGATCCGGTGACGTAGTGCACACTCCTCCGCGCAAGGGGCCATGGGGGAAACCCGCAAACCCGTGACGTAGCACGCATTAGCGTGGGGGGAAGAGGGGGGGGGAGAGAGAGGGGTGGGGGGAGATGACGATGACGGCGACGGCCGTTGGACGGACGACAAAATGGCGGCGGGCGAAGGTACGTGGAAGAGCTGAGCCAAAGGGTGGGGGGGGGGAGGTCTCCGTGTGTGAGGCGGGAGAAGGGAGAGAGAGAGAGAGACTGCGCTCGCTCCTCAGTGTCTTTAGTTTCCTCCCGTCGAAAGCGTCGTCTCTCATTCCTCGCCCCCCCCCACACACATATATACACACATATATACACACATTATGCACACACATATATATTATACACATATATACATATACATACATATATACACACACGTTATACATATGTTATACATATATGTTATACATATATACACGTTATACACACACATATACATACACATATATACACACACATACATATATACACGTTGTACACACATATATACATATACATACACATATATACACACATACACACATTATACACACATATATACACACACATTATACACATGTATATACAATATACACACACATATACACATATATATATACATCTGCATGTATATATATACACATACACACATATATCACACACATTATACACACATATATACACATATATATACATCCGCATATATATATATACACACACATACACACACAGCCCAACCCATAGCTTGACTGTTGGTCTCGAGGAATCATCCGGCATCTCAAATGCTCGGTGCCCCCTTTCATAGAATATTACAGTACAAAGGAGTCCTTTCGGCCCATCGTGCCTGTGGCGGTTCTTTGGAAGAAAGCTACCCAATCAATCCCCTACCCACCCACCCCCCACCCGCCCTGCTCTTTTCCCATACTCTTGCAATTTTTTTCATTAATAATTATCCCTGCAATTCATTTAGTGCCTTATCATGTCTCAAAGCGCTTCACAGAATATATTGTGAAATGAATTTTCAAGTACATATCCAATTCCTATCCTTTTGAAAGTCGTTATTGAATCTGTTTCCCCACCACCCTTTCAAGGAGGCAGTGCGTTCCAGGCTGCAACAATTCTCGGAGCGTAAAAAATAATTCTCATCTCCCCTTTGGTTCTTTTGTCAGTTATTTTGAATCTATGTGCCCTGGTTACCGACCCACCTGCCATCGCTTTAGTCTGACCAGCGGTTGTCACGGAGCCTCCAGAGCCTGGTGGATGCCTTGTTCCCGTTCGTTGCTTCTTATTTGGATTTTAGCATTTTTTTTTCGATCTATATATGCTGTATATTACAGTCAAACCTATTTAAGCAATCACCTCCATGTTAAACAGCCACCCCTGGAACAGGCCCTTCAGAGTGCAATCACACATCAGCGAACCCTTATCCTTATGTAAAGGCCACTTTGCAACTGTCCCCAGAGAGATTGAAGACTAGTTGAATGTGTGTGTGTATATATAAATAATAGTTGTGTTTTTTTTCAGCGACTGTTACTGGACAACCCTATCCCCACTGCTGGGGAGTATACAGCCATCGACATTGATGTGCCCTCCAACTTTGAAAAATGAAACCTAAGATCTGTTTTAAATGTGACAATACCTTTATTCTAATGCTTTTTTTTTTGGTGGGGGGGTTTGTTGGAGATCTGTTAGGTGAGGTGGAAAACTATGCACTGAAAAGTTATATCTGATATGACATTATCACCTCCAAATGCCTCAAAGTGTTTTACAGTAATGATTACAATACAAAATTACATTTGTATAGTCTCAAGGTGCAAGGATTTGGACCTGAGCTGGGGGTCGGGATCAGGGAGGGCAGGGAGGGTGAAAGGCTCGGTCGAAGAGGAGGGTTTTGCGACGTGCCTTGAAGGAGACAAGGGAGGCAGCAAGGCGAAGGGAATGTGGGATGGAGTTCCATGGGGTAGGGGCAGACAGGCTGAATTGTCAAGTATAGTGACATGGAGAAACTAGAAATGGAAAACATGTGAAAATAAATTATTGCTTAGGAGCAAAATTCAGAACATTGCAATAATGCAGGCTTTTCATATATGCTGTTACATTATCCAAATCTCCCTTGTGATAAATAAAACATTTTCAGATATATTCCTGAAAAGTAGATGGTGATACAGGTCTCTGGTGTATCAAATGTCTGTGTGCTGTGAACTATAGCACTATATTTTAGTGGACATGTATTCTTCTTTACTAAGTGTATTTATATTTTACTTCTGGTCTTAGTAAATAATAAATGAAAAATCCCTTTCATAAATATTTTAACATTATTTAATGACCTGAAATACAACATCAGCAATTAAATTAAATTAAATTCATCCATTGGATACTTGATGAAAGAAGAAAATGTTACTTAACTCACCGCTCCATTATATATACTATATACTGTAGCATAAATTCATCTTTCTTCCAAATACTGTACCATGTAATAAAGCACTTTCGCTGTGCTATAGATTTGTTTTAGAAGTGGAGGATTTGTCAGTGGCTTGGAGACCAACTTTCTTTGGTGTAATCTACCATTTGCACGTGGTTAAAACTAGTGATACTGTATTTTACTGCATGTTCAGTTTCTCTCATCTGTTATTGTTTACAAGCTTCAGTGACTCACTCGTTCCTGCATCAGAAAATATGTCCCTTTATTTCAAAATATTGCATATCCTCTTAGTTATTTGTTTTAATAATTCAGATTATTGAATAAAATGTTCCCACCACTGGAGTAGGAAGTGCATCGAAGCCCAGCACTTACAGTGTTCAAGCTTTTCAAGCTTGGATCACATGGAAGGGAAACCACTTGTGGGTCAAGCAATACAAACTCTTGTTTAAATCAGAGGCCAGTCTGTTTCCATTAACCACAACAAATGTTATTTCCACAATGAGTGGAATAGAAACTTAGTGGTCAATGTAGCATTAAAACAGGGTGTTTGAATTTGGCGAAACAGGTGTAACTGCTCACGTATAACACTGCCTACACATCTGATACCCATCTACCATATGACGTGCATGACTCTGAATAAAGGTCAATTTAGAAAGTTAAATTGATTGCTTCCCTTTTGTGCATTAGAAGGTTCGCCTCATATAATGAATATCATTGTATAACACTATAAATCCCCAGAGGTTTTGAATACTTCAAATAACAGAGTATATCCTACTTTATTCTCTCTCTCTCACCACCCAGAAGCCCCTCACTGCAGGTGTGGTGGATTCATAACTTAATGGAAGTTTTACTTACATGTGTTCACCTCTTTGAGGAAATTATTGCATTTGTTTTCCAACTTTAAACAAAATAGTTTGAAAAAAATATGGAGAACTAATTGTATTATCCAGCACATTTGAAGGCACAAAACAACTTTGTATCCTTCACAGACACCATCTGCACTATCCACGATCTGTGAAGGTAACTACAACTATGAATTTCTTTTGTCACAGCTCCTTTGCTGCAGAAGGGTAGTTAGAGTGAATCCTTGCCATAGCATCTTGTTCTGTATCCAGTCGATAACGGATGAATTGATCATGAGCGCTTTCAGATTTATCCGTCCTCAAACATTGAGAAACGAGGCAATAACTTGCGAAGAATAAATTGGAGCCTAGGAATTTTCATTGTTGTTTTCCTTGAAAAGCATGGTCTGCGATCTAAGCGAGCATTAGTGGCCTAAATAGCATTTCTAAATTATTTACATGGTCCATTTTTAATTTGTAGAAGCCAGACATTGGCAGATGGATGCCCAATTATAGTCTTCTCCCTTTTTCAATACAGTCTTACACGGTTTTAGAATGAATCACAAAAACAAGTCCATATTCATATTGTGGAAATTTTAGGAACAGCGAACTCCTGGAAAAACAACAAAGAATGTGTTGGGCATCAGCCAGGCCCAATGCATTGCCTCCATTGTTTCTTGCCCATGATATACGCTCTGTGTGGTTTGTGCCAAAAGGCACGTCTTTGTTTTTGTCCAGTCATGAGTGGCAGTAAAAGGTGGAAAAATACTAGAAGGAATACAAGGCTTACTTGCCCACTACTAATCTTGGTAAAAGTTGGTACTCAAAAGCTAAACCGAGTTTTATGAACAGCCTGGCCCTGAATGTTTTTAGAGCTGAACTACCCAGAATTTCCCCTGTGAGATCTGAAGAGGAAAGAATGTCTGGAAAACTGAATTTTCATATAAAAGCTCCTTTGTACTTAATTTTGGTAGCCTTGATTAAATGGCAATGTATCTATTACCAAAGAAAACGTTTTTCCCCCCTTCTGAGAAGTGAGTGCCTGGCATCACCTTTTAATAATATTTTATCATTCATGTCTATATTCATCCACATCCCAAATTCCACTATCCACAAGCTCCAACTGCTTCAAAACTCCATTAGCTGTTACCTCGCCCACACCAAATTCCATATGCTCATCACCCCAGTCCTCACCAAAAGATCAATTTAAAGGTCTTTACCATCACCCATACACGCCTTCATCCTTTAGCACTCCCCTATCTTGATCTACGTTTCGCCCACAAAATATACAATCAATTCACTTTACAGTATATTCTGTGAAGCGCTTTGAGACGTCTCAAAGATGTGATAAGGCACTATATCAAATGCAAGGATTATTATTACGTCACCCTTCCTCATAACCTATCTTATCCGTTTATTCGTCCATTATATAGGAGTTAATTAACTCGCTTTTAATTGGGAGTCCAGTCAAGTCTATTCTGCAGGGGGAAAAAGTATCTTGTTTCAAGTGAAGCATTACTGATTCTATACATGTAATTTACACAGTAATCAATGCAACATTTATCTATAGGCGCCTAATTGGTTTTGCTAGATAAGATCAAAATAGAATATTTTACAGATAGGAATATTATCCTTGGGAATCTTGCCCATAGAGAGTGAATAAAGATAAAATATATTTGAATATAAAACAACTTCAAAAGTTTAATATATGAGAAGGATATTACAAATACTGTACAATGGTAAGTACACATTTAAAAATTGTGAATATTGACAAAACAAGTCTTACACAGTTCATTATATATCATCCAGGAGAGAAAAACTGAATTTTACTTGTAAAAGTAATGTGAAGAGCATTTCCTGAACATATTCACATCTCCTTTCATTCACTCACAACCTATGTTTAGTTAAAAGTCTTCCTATACAGAAGATGTATTTGGATATTATTCACCACGTTAAAATATGCAAGTACAAATGGGAATGATGAAGATCAGCGATGTTTAACTAATGAACAAAAGGTGTGTAGGGGATTTGAGGGAATGCTCTCACTGGTCGGATGGAAGCACAGAAAACATTTGTGAAGCTAGACAACTGAATGATTCACATCCGCTAAGTAGTGTATTATATGAGAATAGCACCATGTCAACGTAAAACCTATATTTGCCCTAGCTGGTATGTTGTGGACATCATTTCTAGATAAAATGAGACCTTACTATCACATGACACCATGGCATTATCATATGATTGCACAGTTTTCCTCATGCATCAATATTGCAGTCAGACCTGGGACGGCTGAGTGCAGATTGTATATTGTCATTAGTTAAATGGTGCTTTCTAATGTTTTTTAAAAAACACAGGATTATAGTATCCAGCGAATAATCACCATCACGGCGGTTTTAAACTTGTTTTTTAAAAAAATGTATATTCTTACAAAGTTTCCTTATTCTATAGAGAAACTTCAATGGGTAAAATTTAAAGACCACTTTGGCAAACACTGTACTTGACGACATCCATTTCGAAATGGATGGTAATGGAATGGTTTACAATTTTGTAGCAGAAGTCAATATGACCAACATCCTTGATTTATGCGCTGACCTCTGTCTTTCCCCTCGGATATTGGCTTTGAGATTGCAGGATCCCCCCCAGGGGAGAGAGCACAGGTCAGTGGAATGAATACACAAAAATGACTAAGAATTTCTGATCCTGAAACTACATTTCAAAATGAACAGTATGGGGTGGGGAAAGCCAATGGACTCTAAATCTCATATGCCTCCTTTTACTCAGTCACAGATAAGTGGATTATGTTTTGTTCGCAATGGGCTTGAAATACAGTAACTATAATGTACGATTTCAGGCACTGGGCTGCAAGTGAGTTTGGTGAAACTTCGTCACCAAACTATTTTAAATGCAATTCCAAATGTCGTTATTTCTACTTTATCCTGCATCATATAAAAAAAAGGTTGAATAATACATTTATGTTTAGGTTAATGTCTCAGCTAGGCACAGCTACTTGAATGCAATTTAAATCTCCCCTACAATCTTGAGGTTAAAAACTGTATTATGTGATTATTATTGTTAATAAACATTCTGGCCCATTTCTAACTTTCATTCTCATAACTAGGAACTAAAGCAACTGGGCAGTTGCCAAATATCTGAATGACAAAGCATCATCTCTCATCTGATCTATATCAATGTTAGTTTGTTATTGTTGATCAGATGTTCTGACACATTCATTCACATGAAAGGCACCATACTAATAATCCTTGCATTTGATATAGTGCCTTATCACGTCTTCGAAACATCTCAAAGCGCTTCACAGAATAAACTGTAAAGTGAATAAACTGTATATTTTGTGGGCGAAACACAGCAGCAAATTGCACACAGCAGTGTCCCACAATCGTGGATTGAGTGACATATTATTATTTTATTTTTATTTTTTGAAGGGATTATTACCCCTGGAAAAGTGACTGCTAGGTTAATAGACTGAAGTAAGGAAACTTGCCTAATGTTTCACCCCGCCTGGGAATCGAATCCAGGTCCTCTTGCTTGCAAGACGGGTACTCTAACCAATAGTCCTTTTTAGTTATACATAAAACAGAGTTTGCATGGTTGTGTCCATTGACTAAATCAATATTGAGATTTTGCTGGGATATCAATTGACCCAAGTGGCTAAATCTTCATGTGTGGCTTGATAGTGAATATAAATCACAGCAGCCTTATTCTGTTCTCACTTGACTTCCACCAGAGGTCACTGTTTAACAATCAGAAGTTCACAATTCTACCTCATTTTACGTCGCCTGTAAGAAATTATCATCTTAAAATTTATCATGATACAGATTTGTGGAAAATTCTCAAAATTTAGCCTCAATTTGGAAACCAGATCTTTTTCACATGCAAAAAATGCTTCCAAATCACGACTTAAGAATTTTATGCAACACTGTGCAGTTTTAAATTTTATGACAATATGATCTTATCGTCTAAAGTCTCGACGACGTGATAAGGCGCTATATCATATGCAAGGATTATTATTAAGACTTGGTGGAAGTTTGGGCTTTCGGAACCATGATTCATTTTCTACTTTCCAACACTGAAAAGTACTGAGGTCTTCCACCACACAGTCTGAGAATCACACCTAGAACTCTGGTCTGTGTGGTTTGGTTCCACACTGGGTAGTCCCTATACTACTCGACCATCAGAAGCATTCACGCTAAGTGTGTTCAATTGCTAAGAATGTTGATTTTTATGTTTATTCTGTGTGTGCTGCATATTACATTATTTATCAGAGTCTGGGTCAGGGTTGCAGTTATTTATGCTTCAGGTATTTTGGATTTGTCCTTGGTAGCAGTGTTGAGCCTCACAGTTTACGACTCTGTTATTGACCCATCTCTGACAAAAAATCATTACCGTCTGGGTTATTTGTAGGCAGCCATTTGTTCGTGTCATAGCAACTGATAAGTGTGGACAGTGTTTGTGGAGCAAATATTCTATGCAAAGTCTTTTCATTCAAGTGTAACAGACCCTCATTGTAAATATTTTGTGTTGGACAGTAGAGGGCAGTATTCTACAAAAAGTATTCCAAGCGCCAGCCTGTTTTAAACAGCTGCACTCAGTTAGCTTTTGCTTGGTCTTTAAGACACCTACAATCTTACTTACTTGTTGGAAAACAGACCATGTAATAATTAAACTGCTCAGTCCGACAAGATCTTTCATTCCAACGTGGAAATAACTGGACCATCAAGAGCTGGCTTCAATTTTGTGATGAATAAATGAATTATGAATGAAACCTGGGTATCTACCTGCCACTACCTATAGTGCAATATATAATTGAATATGATGCTAAATCTGATGTTCCTTACAGTGACATGTACATCAAGAAAAGCAACTTGAAAAATGTCCTGGATTCCAACTGGACAAATCTGATGAGTGTGGGGGTGGGGGGAGAAGTGATGTCTCTCCGATATTTAACACTACATAGTAAGATAACTGTACTATAACTTATATTTCTTACAGCCGTTGTATACAGTACATAAATAAAATTCTGCCTGTACAGAATTACTACCCAAGTTTCTGCCTACATGATAATGCTGTAATACTGTACTCTGAAAACAAAATATTTTCCCTCATATCTTAGGACACAGTGCTGTGCTTGTAGTCCATTGCCCCTTTTTGCATTTCCATAGTCGATTCAATGTTTCATACCTTTTTCAGTATTTAAAATGAAGGTCTAAAGGGCATGGTGTTTCTACCAGCAATGTTAGACCAAGATCAGAGTACTGACAGTTCGGTAATAACTGCGTGCAGGTAGATAATTATTACAGCACACAGATATCCAGATACTAAGAATCAATAAAAGCACTAACTCCTGCTCATTAAGTAAATGCATAGAACTATTATTCCTCCCCATCTGTTCCACAGCAGAGAGATGTTTTAAGATCCAAGCTTCATCTGGTCTTGATAATCATCTGAACATGCGTAGGTTGCAGATCCTGCATTTCCTAACCAGAAACACATGGCTACTGGTACAGAAAGTCTAAGACAAAAAAGGTAACCTTACAATAATCAGTCCAAAAGAAAATATAATGGGACAAATGGAACATCAGAAAATGGAGAGCACGAAGACAGGTCAACTGTGTCTTCATCAAGAATGACAGGTGCATGCAGGTGAACACAGGTGATTGAAAATTAGGGATGTGTAACATCACAGATCAAACCAGTCCACAATAAAGCATAAGAAACACAGGCCCCATCATAGGATGAGCAAGAAAAAAACCGAGAACATCTGGAAAACAGCTGTGATCCTTGGAAATAATGTTCCATCTAAATATTAATACATTATTCCATATGGCAGATTAATACGTAGATTTAAAATGAAGATGCTGCTATTGTATTGAGCCACAAAGTCAACAGCTCCTCCGGTTGAAAGCGACCTTACCTGGTAGCAAGATGTCAGCTTCAGAACTCAAAGTCTACTTTCCGCATTTCCAGATCGGCTGAATGAGCTAAAACGAGCATTTTTCTTTTCCTTGTGCATCTGTACAAAGGCATCGCACAGTCAACTTTACAAAGCAGCCCAAATTTAGCCTTCAAATGAACGACTCTTTCCTATACCTGCAGCAGTAACAATGACGATCTAAAATAACACACATTGGGTGGTTTGGTTAGGAACCGCTGTAAATAATTGAATATTTCACGGTTCACTACTCCGCAATGTGGGGACTGGAGTGGTACGTGCAGGTATCTGTCATTTCTCCTAATCATTGCCGTGATCATACTCTTCAGCTGAAGAACTGGTGGAGGAAAGTGTTCTTCATTTACGTAGACCTGTGGGAAGATAAGACAAGCCTATAAATGGAAGATATTTCCAATATTGTTCTTAAACCACTTTTTCAAAAAAAGAAAAACGTGCCCGCCCCCCCCTTCCCTTTCTTCTGAAAGCATCAACTCCTATTGCTTTCTACTGAAATATCTTTCCATCAACAATCTCCAGAACCTCACCCAAATCACCATTATTCATCTATGAACCTTGACAGAATGTCAGCCAAACACCGTAGGCCTCACAGTCAAGTACAAACCTGCCCTAACTTGACGTCCAAACACATTCACATTCCAGAAGCATTCTCTGAAAAATAACTAGAAGCAGCAACCTCATGTTTTGAGGCCAATTCTAACCGCCCACAGCTGCCTCTGCATGGCATAGTCCGCTTATCGTGGTGCCTCAACTCATTAGGTCATTGAAGGGTGTGGGGACTCTTTCATTGGACTTGCCATTGGACAACCTCTTGCAAACTGTAATTTAAAGGGGTGATGTAACTCTCTTAGTTTTCATAGAAACATAGAGACAGGAGTAGGCCATTCAGCCCCTCGAGCCTGTTCTGTACCTTAAGTCCAATTACCCACCCCTGCTCTGCATTCCTTAATACCTAACCTAACAAATATCTATCCACCTCAGTCTTGAAGATGTGAATGGCTCCAGAATCCACAGCCTTTTGGCGGAGAGAGTTCCAGACTTTTCCTGTCCCTAAGATGAAGCATCCTATGTTGAAGTATTCCAAGATCCAGTCATCTTGCTTATAGCAAAACAAAATTCATTGCTCGGTAAAATTGGGCCAACATCAGCAAGAGACAGCATCAGAAGTTGAACCCGTGACTCTTTCTCTGGAAGACTACTATTCTCTTCGATCATGAACAACAATATACTTTGTCCTCTATTGTAACTGTAGAAGACGATCCTGGGATTCACAGGTGATTGGGAAGCAAACTCAATAACGATGGAATTGGCAAAACATTGCCTCTAGAGTAATCCAAGTGTAACATTAAAGGTACAACTTGATCAGATGAACTAGTAACTGCTTGTACCATGAATTCACACCACAGTACACCTGTGATGTCTGACTTATTTAGACAGGATTGATGGAGATGGAGTGGGGAGGTGGAAAATCCACTTGAAATGGAAGTAACACTGTAGTTTTTAACACTGGAAGGCATGCTTGTGTTACTCAGGCAGACCCACAATGAAATTCTAGTTAATTTCAGGGTTAAAAGCATATACACAAACCCAGCTCTTTTGCAAGTAACATTTTTATTCTCCGAAGAATCATCAGATTGCACCGTGACTTCTCCTTTGTTGTACATTAAGCCACGGATTCTTTAAAGTGCAGAGTGCATGCTTTCATCAACATTTTCACTCTCTTTTGTGAGGTTTCTAGGTCTTGACCTAAATATTGCCCTTCCATAAAAGGACTGAAGCCATCAAAATGATCAAATTACACAAGTCTCGGGGAATTTGTGGTACAATTTTGAGGATAGATGAGCGGTTATCGACTGACATCCTTAAGTATTACTATTTGACATTTTGCTTTAATGTGTTTTTCAAAATATTTATCATTTTTAACTCATAAGACTAGTCTCTTGGTCAGAAGTTGCACATTATATAGTGAGTTTTGTAAAACCTCTCTTCTATACAACCAATATAACATTATTTCCCTCTGCCCCTCACTCTCCACCCCACACACACAATAAAAACATACAAAAACATAAAAAAGCATCTAGTTTCATTCAAATAAATCAAAAATCAAATATGATTGTTCATCATCGGCAATTCAAACAAACTAAAAGGTTGGTGGCATGTTTTCTTGCTAGGACAGTAGGAATTACTGTGACACGATGCAAATTACTTACAGATAAATTGGCTTTAACAGAACATGAGAGGGTTTCTGAGGCGCATGGTAGACGGAGAATGAATCAAATCCACCTATGAAATCAACTGGAATCACAACATAAACGTAAATAAATAAGACTCAGGAAGAACGCTTCATGGCTCAAGCAAACCAGAACATCAAATAAAGACAAACACTCAAAATAAAGTTCAAACGAAAGCAAAACATTGAGCTGGAATCACATTGGGCAATGCAGACTTCAGAATGCTCTGGTTCTGAATATTGAGTTGGGATAGAGAATGGCACATTCAACAATGAATTTGAGAAAGTGTTGTTGCTTCAAAATAGAAACCACCAGAACTGAGAAATTATTTTTGAATTCAGAAAATTTGTCCCAATTTAACAATTTAAACCCAACATAATAGATCCTGTGACTATCCATCAGAACATCACTATGACATAGATGACAAATAGCAATAGCAAATCAGACATGCAAAAGGAGTAAATGAAAAGAAGAAATTAATAACGTTTGTTACAATATTTGCAAGAAAACGCTTGAGTGTCAATTTATAGCAGGGATTTCAGAGTTTCATAAATCAACTTATCTTTTGCAGTTTAATGATGTATATTATATACTCTACTCTTCTCTATCCACTCTTCAACCCAAGCTTCAGGTTTTCTTTTTGTAATCCCTTTTGATGCGATTACACAAAATCTAAAGGCCAATTCAAAGCACCGTACAATATAAAACAAAAGCTTATTTTATTCATTAGAATGAATCACAGTTGAGTGCCACTATAGGAAATTGTGGTGAATCGCTGCCAAATCTGATGTATAAAAAAATGCAGCATCACACAGTAATGGAAATTACTGTGCAGACACACAACATATAAACCCGAGGTTTACTATAAAATATATACCTGCTGGAAAGGGAATGAAACATTTGGAGGCTTAAATGAACACAAACGGCATTACTTTACAAATGATTTGCTTCCTTGGTCTGTAATGAGTTCAATTTTATTTTCAATTCAAATCCAAACCAACATGGAATGTGGTACCTGTATCAAATTCATTTTAAGATAATTTTTTGGCAGGCCTCGGATCAAGCTATTCGACATGTGACTTTCAACCAGAATGTAGTGGGTCGATTCCCTGCCTGCCTGCCAACAAAAGCCTCTCGATTAAGTGAATTTCATCAGCTCTGAGCCAGACCATTAGACTGAGTGCCACATGCGAGAAAGTCATCGTGCTTCAGTGCCTGAAATTCTGTCTCCAGTTGGCCGATCATCGAACAGATTAACAACAAATAAGAAAAGCCAGTGGTCTTTGTCTAAATGAGCAACGGTCCTGAGAGAAAAGCATGGGAGAAGACGGAAATTAATTTAACTGTGGTATACACAAGTACACAATTGCGCCTTGAAATTACTGAATGGGTTGATGATCATTAAAATATTAAGCTGTGAACAGCACTTTAATAACTGAGTAAATGAAATCGGTGTATTGATCTAGAAACTAGAAACGCACCAGAAACATACTGTTGCAGAGGTGAAATATTTTGCAGAGGTTTGCATTTTATTCGTTTTATTAATAAACTCTAGATGCGGACATTTACATTATTGGTGTGGTCGCCTGGGACCAATATCTCAGCGGCCAATTTATAAGCAAACCACGAAATAATAGCAGACTTCCAGATCATTAGATCATGCTGATGTCACTTCCTGTTCATTACACTCAGGCCTGCTGTGCATAGGAAGCCCCACTGACATTATTTGATACAGAGCCTGATCACGTCTTCGAGACATCTCAAAGCGCTTCACAGAATAATCCGTAAAGTGAATTAACTGCTTATTCCTTTGCAAAGTGCATTAGAAACGTTTACTGTGCATAATGTGGAGTCCTGTAGCTCAGTGGTTAAGCACTCGCTTTGCAAGCGAGAGACCTGAGTTCAATTCCAGGCAGAGGGCGAAACCTTGGGCAAGTTTCCTTACTCCACACAGAGCCTGATAATAATCCCTCCAAAACAAAACAATAATAAATTGGTCATTTTCAATCTACGACTGTTTGTGGGACATTGCTGTGCGCAATTGGCTGCCGCGTTCGCCCACAAATATACAGTCAATTCACTTTACAGTGTGTTCTGTGAAGCGCTTTGGGACGTCCTCCCGACGTGAAAAGCGCTATATCAAATGCAAGGATTATTATAATGCGGAGGAAGTGACCAGACAACCCAGAAATCTTTTTTAAAGCACGAAAAACTAGTGTTGGCATCTGGCTATACCAATTTTCCAGGTTACCTATGTCTTAGTTCCGATATCTCTTGACTTGCTCTCCCCCCAAACAATAACTAGTAGGAAATTTATGCAAGAAGCATAAATTATTTATGCAATCACTGGGGACATTTATAATTTAATATCTGGAGACATATGCATCAGATAAAGGAATTCTGAACACCGTAATCACACTTTAAACTGTGTAACTCAGCAGCTATATTATATTGTGAACTACATACACAAATAATCAAACATGGTATTGGGATAGAAACAGTCTGGTGAGGTAAATGTGCAAAACAAATTTATTTAATTTCCATATTTTCTATTTCTCTGTGGGGCCACCATTGTATTTGGTTTCTGAGTTACAGTGTGATTTCCAATGCATTTCAGGTCATTGCACTAAGGAAAAACACTATGATAACTGTATCCTAACTGAGGGATCAGATTAGATTTGTGTGTACGTTTTACATGAGGCGGTACGTTATTTAATTTTTCACCCATTAATTCACAAAAGATAAAAATAAAAGAGATCATCATTAAATTATTACTTGGGTGATGTACAAATAGCCTTGCAACGTATAACATTATAAAGTTTGAAGACTATACAATCTCTGGCTTCCTTTGTTAACATCTCAATAATAAGGGTGTATCAATCAGCCGATGGTGCAAGTCAGAGTTGAAAACAAGAACAGCAGTGGTACATTTCTATAGCACCTTTCATGACAGGAGGATGTCTCAAAATGCGTCACAGAATCATCTGGGAGCACTAGCTAGGGGCTGGGGGAGATGAGGGGTGGTGGGGGGAGATGGCAGTGTGACCAAATGCTCAGTTAGAGCTTTAAAGGTAGCGAGGGAGGGAAAGGGATGGAGTTCCAGGGAGCGAGGGCAAAATGCAAAAGCCTCCGAATTGTTCTCAATATCGATTGCCAATTGATTACTGTTACTGCATAAACATGGGCAATTCATGCTGCATATTTTTATTGGTAAAACAGATGTGATATTTCATTGCCAAAATAATTGATGATTTTTGTTCTGGCAATGGATCTATGATCAAAATTAGTCAAGTTTCTAGCAGAAACTGAACACATAAAACTCCAAACAACAAGCTACCCAGCTAACTCAACAGTTCTGATGTTGGTCCTGTCTTTTATTCAATGGTTAGCTTGGAATTGGATTTTATTTCCACCCACTGTAATTTTTCTCTTTCTCGCTCTCGTCTCAAGTATGTTTATTATGACTACCTGTACATGCTACTGCATCTCTATAGGTTTCAAGGTTGTCTTGCAATATCCTCAGCAACATCTCATCTGTTAACAAAGATGGGACAATTTAGAAAAATAAGTTCTGTGAATCCAAATCCGTATACCTCAGCTTTTTCCAGGAAATGTATATATTTTTTCTAAGAAGGATATCACAGAAAGTTTGAAGGTTTTACAGATAACAACTGTCAAGCCTGCCACTCATACACACTTGCATAAAATTGATTAAGCACAAAGAATGGCAAGCAAATCCACCGGGAATGTGGCCTTCTTCAGAAATATAGCGGTGAGTGACAGCTGTGGGTTTTAAACGTAATGCTTCACAGTGATAGTTTTCATTTGGAATTACATTTTTATTAGACGTTCACATTGGTAAAAGTGGCACTTCTGGCTGATCACGGTTAGCCTGGTGACAACGTAGGAATAGGAGGAGGCTGTTCAGCCCTTCAAGTCTGTTCCGCCATTTAATTAGATCATGGCTGATCTTTACCTCAACTAATCCTTTCAATTCCAAACACACTCACTTCCAATGTTGCTGCAGTTACTGATACCAGCTAGTCTACGTTAAGCACTTTGTCGTCTTATACAACATCGCGATTAATCAAAGAAGAGTTCAGCTCTTTGATTCGAAACAAAATCTATGCAAAGCAGAGAGAGGCTGCAGAAGTTGCTCTAAGTGCTGCAATACAAATCTTGTCCATCACGAGAATCTGTTAATGCAATAGTCTCTGAGGTGCTTTCCAATGAAAATCCAAATCTTTCTCAAGTTTTCTTACTCCACACGCCTGATAATAATCCCTCAAGAAAAAAAAATCAATATCAAGAAAAATTGGTCACTTCAATCCACAACTGTTTGTGGAGACACTGCTGTGTGCAATTGGCTGCCACGTTTCACCTACAAAAAATAGTCAAATCATTTTACAGTATATTCTGTGAAGTGCTTTGAGACGTCTGGAAGACGTGAAAAGCGCTATATCAAATGCAAGGATTATTATTATTATTTCCCTTAGATTGTCAAACCTTTGGCAGTAGCTGTTTATTGACAACGCTGGTGATAAAGGCATTGTTCGAGTTACAAATGGCCCTTTCTTCTCCACGATTTAATATCCACTTCGCCCATTAACAGAAGTAAAATCTTCAAAACCTACCTTAAAAATCTTCGCTTGAAAAGTTGAAGCTTTTTTTTAAAAAGCTATCTGCAATTATAATCTAACACCTTTTTTAAAAAAAATAGTAAAAATGATTAAGAAAATTAGGCTGCAATGCAAATAATCTGGGTCACTGGCTTTTTTGGCTGCTGACAGCATTAAATATTGACGTCCTGCCACAGTTAATTATTTAAAATGGCACAGCAGATGCGAACGAGAGACTAAAATATGCCTCCTGGGTATTAAAACATTGGACAATTAACAGCTGTAGTGCACACTGAAAAATAAGATAATTTAAGAATAAACTGGGTATGAACAGGGCAGAATCACCACATAAATAATACGTACAAATTATACCAAAAATCTACAATGGCATATCTATTAAAAAGTTAATGTTCCTTCACATGAGATTTCTTTTAAAGTCCCTTTTACAGTATTATACAATTATGTCATTTACATTTGCTGTGCCTATTTTATCATAAAGCTCGTTGACTTTTTTTTGAGACGGAGAATTGGCAGACAATTCATTGTTCTTGTTCCGTGTGTAAATTTGGGTCGAAAAAGGTATTGTAGATTTTGTTTATATACTTGTAGGGAAGATTAAAGACACATGACCTAGGGATAATAGAGACATGCTCCGATAATAGAGCCTAGATTTAAAATGCTCTATAAGGAATTGTTGTCACAGGAACTATCTTTATATTAACACACATTGGCGATTCCTGTGGAAAAGGCTATTGTCCTGATGAGAATTAGAGTCTCAGTTTGATTGAGTACATGCTGAAGGTCTCTTGAGGAGGTTATAAATCCTACAATTTAGTTCATTGTGATATAATCAGTCAAAACAGGCTCGCTTTTCCCTGTTCATTATTCCTTTCACCTGAGCTCTAAAATCCTCCTTCTCCCCCCTCATACACACACACACACAAATCCCTTTCCTTCTTTGTTCTCAGTCTTCACCAACAATCCGCTTCACTTAAAATGGAGGAAGGGGGAAAAGGAAGTTCAATCTACATTTGTCTGTCAGATACATCTAAATCATTCCCAACATTTATTTAAGAATCTGTAGCAATCTGTCTGTAGACACCGTTAAATGGTTAGAGTTATCTCTAACTTATTTAGAGCTTTTGAAAAATCACTGGTTTCCTCTGGAAACCACATGTGGAGTCCTGTAGCTCAGTGGTTAGAGCATCGCTTTGCAAGTGAGAGACCTGAGTTCAATTCCAGGCAGGGCGAAACCTTGGGCAAGTTTCCTTACTCCACACGCCTAATAATAATCCCTCCAAAACAAAAAACAATAATAAAATTGGTCATTTTCAATCTACGACTGTTTGTGGGACATTGCTGTGCGCAATTGGCTGCCGCGTTCGCCCACAAATATACAGTCAATTCACTTTACAGTCTATTCTGTGAAGCGCTTTGGGACGTCCTCCCGACGTGAAAAGCGCTATATCAAATGCAAGGATTATTATTATTATTATTATTATTCCCACCGCGATCGCTGAACACCTTTTTCAAATCATTTACAATGAATTAGATTAGGCAAAGCTCTTTCTGTCAGAAAAAGCCAACAGTTCATTTATTCACAGATTTTTCTCTCTTTTCTTTGTGCGTCTAATTATATTTTTCTGATTCTCTCCTCACTGGCATATGTTTCTCTGCTCCTGTTCTTGCCTCCTCTTGTCCATCGGGAATAGAGGCCATCGTTCACATGTGAGCCTTGGCAATGAGTGTCTGCAGGCCATGTTTGATTGCAAAAACAGTCACTACACTTGGTGGTAAAGTGCTCGGAATCATTTGACAACAGTAAGACATAACAATAAAATTTAGTTTTTCTGGGTTTCATATCAGGCATACTCAACCATATAATTGCTTGCAATTTACTACCCATATTTTTGAATCTTAAACAAACTATATACTGTATAAAACTATCGTAAAACACATATGAGAAGTGCTGTAGCAGCACCGAGATGATAAACCTGAACATGGATAGGAAAGACTGTACAAAGCCATTCTTTAGAACACTTTAGGCTGAAATGCAAGTGACTGAAAGTGATGCAAAAGAACTGTCTTCCTGTGAAGCCTTTTTCACGTAACGCTTTATTTCAACACTTATTCTAAACGGTCCAGACCGACTTTTCTTCTGTTTGCGCTGACTGAGATTGAATACAAATACAGCTGCATTTTTTTTTACGCCATTTAACAAATTTAATAAAGCATGACTGAATTGCACCACTTATTTGAAAACCAGTCAGTGACAACAACTTCTGTGCTCTTATTGCAAGATGTTCGTCTGGAATGTCATACAAAGTCATGCCATGTTTAGCAATGCCTCATCAAGAAGAGTTTAAGGGCCTTGAATTTTTAAAGCAAGTTAGCAGATCAAAACATCTCAAAGCCACTTAATGGGTAAAGTATGGGAACTTGTTTTATACGGGCAACACAGCAGCCATTTTTAACAGCAAGGTTCCACAAACTGGTTCATCAATGTCCAGCGATTGGTAATACAATACAATATTACATTTGTATAGCGCCTTTCACATTGGGAGGATGTCCTAAGGCACTGGTCAGTCAAGGGTTTGGATAATGTCCACCTAAATAAGTTTAACATCTCAAAATAACCCAAAGCATATTATTCCCCCAACCAATTGGAATAATGACAACACTTCAAAGCTTGACACTTAATTAGATAATAACAGAACTGTAGTCTTTTAATCAATTAGGTAAATTGAACTGGGAATAAAATCTCAAATTTCAGACTCGTATAGATGTCTCTTAGAACAAATATTTACATTTCAGTTTTTTAGGCTAATTTTTCCACTAATACAAGAATACATTTGGCTGTTCTGTCCATCAGATAATTGGCGTTTTGAGTGGACAATGTTTTCATCAGGAAGCAAAGTTGTGAAGAAAGAGGTAGATGAATAATTAGGAATCAATCTGAAAACCCACTCTTGCTATTAAAATGGGAGAGGAGAAGGAGGGTTGGATTTTAGACAAAATGTAACAAGTAGGTTACAGGATAAAGCTTAATCCAAACGCCATTTAATAACAAAGTTTCGGGTTGCAAAATCCGATTTACCCTTAATCTCCCAGATAAAATTGGACATTCGTTTCATGGCTGTTTGTGCGTCATTGCTGTGTGAAAATTGGCTGCCGCGTTTGCCTACAAATACAGTAACTATACCACACAGTAATTCCTGTGAAGCACTTTGAGACGTTTCACCGATATGATAAGGCACCAATGTTGAATGCGAGAATTGTAATTTGATCAGAGGAATTAAATGTCTTTCAATCCAAAGTCATGAACAATCTTGTTTACTTGATTGATGAGCCACAGACCCGGGGTTTATTCCCACGCGTACAGATTTTTAAATTCAGCCCGACTTGTCAGAGCTGGATTGCTGTTTCACACAGGAGGAGGGTCATATGTTTTTACTTTCCTCCACATTTTAGCATAAGGCTACTCACTAACGTATTCATTGCAGCTGTTTTGTAGCTTCTGGTTCTGCCTGCGATCTTAATACCAGCAGTCAACGGAGTTGAAACCTATAATTCATGTGGGCTTCCTAAAGGAAAATTCAGTTTCCTTTACTTTCTCAGTGAAAGCTGTTGCAGCTGGGCCACTTCACACATAACCTATCTCAGTCCAATTAAGCAGAGTTAACATTTTCACACACCGCTACTTACAGCTGTCTTCTTCCTCTGTAAAGACACTGACAATGTAACAGGCGTAGACAAATCCAACAAGCTGTGTGGAGAGAGAAAAAAAAACACAGAGAAAGCTTAAAATTGTTATCTTCTCATGACAAAGCACTTCTGGCATCAATAGAACTTTTCTAACCTGCCTTATACCAGTTTAGCAAACACAATAATTCCCACTACCACATTCTCTCTCCAGTGGCTATAACGAAAGGCATGTTATTTCGAAGGACCTTGGAGATATGAGACGAGTAACCAATTTAACTGTTGACCTTTTTTTTCCCCTTAAAAAATAAGTATTGTGGAATTTGTAATGTCTATCTGAACAGATGAGACCTTGGTTCAATATCTCATCATAGTCTGGCCTGACACTGCACTATTACTGCACAGGAGACTCAGCCTGAGCTGTGCTTGAACCAACAACGTTGCCGCAGGGGTGAGAAATATCTAAATGGAATCAAACTGACAGAAACTCATATATTTCACTACAATATGCACAGCCACAAGACTATACAGTAAATCCTGTGAAGCACTTTGCAAAGTCCTCCCAGTGTGAAAGTCACTGTATCAAATGTAAGGATTATTCGGCTGATCACATCTAAAGCTTAATTCAACTTGCTGGGAGAAAATAAAATCCCAATATTCCCCAAGGATTGTCTTGCCTCTTACCTCTCTTTAATCTTTTGAATTGTTAATGCAATTTTACAAACATAAAATTAAACAGTTTAATTCAGCAGTGATTACATTAGGTGGATTTTCTTTGAATCCTTTATCAATTACTTCATATATGCAAATTAGAAAGATTAAAACATTTAAGTAACTTCTTCAAATGATTTAGTAACCAACGTAAACAGGAAAAGTACCTTGTGCAATCAGAGCACTTCCCAACCATTTTATTATTCTGTAGGCACATTAAATGATTGCAAGCTCATAACTGGGGTTTCAAAGGAACATAGAAATCTTGGATTGATATAACATTTCTTCCTCATCTCACTGAAGCACGTCATGTTAGTGGCCTCTATATCTGTTAGAGTGCGGTCTAAAGCTATGAGTTGATGGTATTGAATATCTATATGTTTTAACATGTTTGAGAGGTGACGGGAATGAATTTTTCGAAAGCTCAAAGGCGGCACTGACAACACAGGGTTTTCTGTGCAGTTGATTATAACATGCTGTCTAGCTCGATTAGTCAAACGCATCCTTCCCGAAAAAGTCGATATCTCATTGCTGGTTGATTTACATTTTATCAATGTGGACTGTGCATTGCCACAAATTCAAGATAAAAAATGTGGTGACAGACAAAGGTATAATTGCACATTCCTAATGCTGTCAGAGAGAAAAACATCAAAATGTGAAACGCTGATAACATTATTTAACAGAGAAATCATAGACACTTTGCTTTACCACATTCTGCTTAATAATGCTAATTGTAATCGCTCCCTTTATGCATTTTGATAGGTGCCACAGATTCGTATTCTGCCTCATTCAAAGTCATCCTAAATATGACAGGATTTGCTGAACAGATTATTTCTAAGAATATTGTATTATAAAGGGCCATCCGACACGTGAATGTCTGTGAAACCCACTTTATGCCAAAATATGTACAGAAATCTTTGATACACTTGAAGCTAGTAGCTGTCATTACACATGGGGGGGGTGGGGGGGTCACATTTTCAGCTTAGGACAGGCACACCAGTGCTGATAAATAAACTAGTGGCATCACAAGGGAGGTAAAATGTTCCTTTTTGCAAGTGGCAATTTCCTTCCCTCAATGAAGCTGCTAACGTTATTTGCAATCCTTCCGACCCAGCCCTCCCTCTGCTCAGGTATCAACACCCTGCTTCATGTCCCCCGTCCGACCTGACCCACCTCCACCATTTTTTGTGGACGAGAATGTTTTTTTTTGTACCAATAATTGGACTTTCATAAAAACATGTCCAAGAATGCATCAATGGGCTTTTAAGAGGAATTGACTGCATTAATGAGAGCATTCAAGCAACTTCAAATACTGTGTATTTGTAAAAAAAAGTGAGAATGGATATCACACAGAGCTACAGCTGCAAAATCAATACATGCAACTCACAAATGGCATTGAATTTGCTTTTATTTTACCCCTTGTTAACCAAATCTGGGCCTACATCCTGATTACAAATAATTCTTAATTTTGCCCATTATCTCTCTCTTCTCTAACCAACTGTTTAAATTTTCTGATGAAACAAATAACTGTTATCGGGCACTCTCCAATTTTCCCTTGAAAGTCTTTGGTTAATCGAATGAACTAAACGAAAACTTTCAGGGAACTATAATTTTAAACATTGTTAAAGAAGCCCAGTGTGTGATTAAATAAACCTCTTGTAATGGCCGGCTCTTTAATAGCATAAACAAAACAAACACCTTTGAGTCTTTTCCACATGTGCAGCTGAGTAAACCTCTCTCCATAGATGCTGCCTGACCTGCTGAGCGCTCCCAGCCACTTCAGTTTTTAATACTTTCAGGTATGTGGGTTTTACCCGATACATTTGAGCACATAAATGATTTGTACTCTAATGTATTGGTTACATGGCGGCATTTCCTAGAAATGAGTGATGGTTCAAGCATCTATTAATTATAATATAATCCATTCTTCAAAACATCTGCTAGTTATAATCCATTCTTCACAGTAACTAATCAGTCAACATATAGTAAATCTACCAGCTGGAAGTGGCTGTCCTCACTTAGGAACATAAGGTTCAGAATACATGGGTTCACACTTACGCTTGAAATACACGGTTAAGATTCTTACCAAAGTACATTTCTGCCATTTTCTTTTTAAATTTATTTCAAGCTAATGAATGCTATAATAGTATTCCTTACATTTGATATAGTGCCTTCAAGACGTCTCAAAGCACTTCACAGAATATACTAGTAAGTGAATTGACTGTGTATTTTGTGGGCGAAACGTTGTTCCTTCATTCATGATAATAAGGTGGCAATTTAGTGTTTCAGAAATATTTTCACTTTTAAAAACATGGTTCAAACACACCCAAGACGCAGGCATAAAAGAATACTGCCCTTAGGGTGTACAATCTCAATGAGAATGAACAATACTTTCAGATACACCAAAGCACGGGACAAGAATGCCCGGGTTCAGGGTTGTAACGAGCAAATTTTGGATAATATTTCAAGGAACAATAAATCTGAAATATTGAGATACTGAAGCTGTGCTCCGAGGGACAGTCAGAGAGCTTTTAATGTACCATCTTTAACATTTATTAAACATTCACTGCGTCACTAGCTCCTTAATAGTGTGCTAGAAAAAAACACTTTCAGTGTTCTGTACATGCGCAGAACTCCAGCTGAGCTGTTCAGTTTTTTTTTAGCACAAGTTAACATTCCTTCTCCAAATCACTCTACTGCTGGGAGCTTTATCATTTCATAAACTCACCGTTGAAAAACTGGGACTAGTTACATTAATAACCTGATTCCATAATATCCACCAAAATATTTATGGGGAAGATGCACAAAAATGTATTTCCTTTTGATAAAGGAGCTAATAAAGAGGAAATGCAGTAACAATAATACACTTCTTTTCCAAATGAAACACTATTAGATTCTGTAAATTTCATTTTCTATTCTTCAGAGTAAGTACGGGGATAAATACTAGCGAGCCAGTTACAGCCGTGGAGCAAGGTACAAGGGTAGCATTTGCAGTGTGTCCACAAATTTCTTGGTCTTTGCTGTAATTTTTTAAAATTTCAATTTTAATATTAGCTATCCTGCAAACAATCTTTCAACTAAAGCACACAGCTCCTTTGAAAATTTCTGCTGAGCTTAAACAACTCAGCTTTCAAACAAACACAGGCAGTTCTTTGTTCATAATGCAAATTAGCTGTGCATTATTGTCTCTGTACCAGTTAATACCAGGCAGTGGTTAGTAACAGCTTTGCCTTTAATTGCAAGCACATGCCCTTCTGTATCTGCAGATAGAAAGATGGGATCAAGTTGATTAACAAAATTATACGTTAACAAAATCATTTTGCAAATGAGAAAATCGTGTTCTTTTATTGTGACAATGTTATATTCCAATTTCTGTCACTGCCTTTAAAGTGATTTAGATTTTTTTTGCAGTTTGCCGTTTGTTCTTTGTCTTTCAATGGAAAAATAAATTAAGACTTTTGCTGTTTATCGTGCGATGTTTATATTCAGCAAAATGTTTACATTTATTCATTCTAGGTATTTATAAAAGCGACTTCCTAAGGAAATACACGAATGTACTATGAAAACAAATAAACCTGGATAAAATAAAATGCAATATTCACAACCACAAAAATCTCAGTTAATCTTACTCAAGTCTTTGTACAGTATCTCTTTCCTATGTTCATTGCCCTTCCCATCTTTGTTTGACTCCTTCCTAGATTATATGCGTACAACGGTAGACGAGGTGTCCGTCCTTATCTGGTCACTCCAGTTGTGAAGACTTGTTTTTTTTCCACCCTTTTCTATCTCATCTTTTATTTAATTCCTTTTGTTACCAGCGCCTTAGGACGTCCTCCCAACACGAAAGGCGCTATATCAATGCAATTTGTTGTTGTTGTTGTTTGAATTTGCCTTCCTCTCCTCAACTACCTCACCTTTACCTTCCAGGTTGATCTCCCACTCATGGTGTATTTTTACAGTATTTGCCCAGTGTTCATAAATAGATCCAATCCATAAGCTACTTTATACTGCGCTTATCGTAACAATTTGCTGAAAACATAGCAACATAGTATAAAACAAGTTTCAGCCACGAGAAATCAATTGATAATTATTCCTGGGATGGGCCCATTTATTGAGATAAACGTAAGTCCACTCAGGAAGCAGGCAGCTATGCGTGAAAACAATGTGATCAGAGTGAACCAAGTACTTTTATTAGGTCAGTCAGTCTATACCATCAAAGGGAGAGCAAGAAACCATGACTGCTTTCACGCCATGTTTGATGACTTCCAATAAATGTGATGACCTATTAATCTGACATATATAAAAATAGATGTGGTACGTTGTTTGAACTATTCTTTGTAGAGTTTCTGCGCACATGACAATGTGAGCATTATTTACGGCTCCAGGCATTTATCTGGTGTGGTCCGGGCAATTGACGGGTGCTAAGGCTTCTTGTCGATCAAGATTACAGGGAATGAGGGTTTTATAGCATTAATTATCAAGAAAGAAATGTGTGAAACACATGCTGTTCCAAGGCTGGCAAGTTCTCTACTCACCGCCAACAGTATTTGGAAAGAGCTGTGCATGACCTCGATATACTGGTAATCAATAATGCAGCCCATCACAGAGATATAGGAATGACCATCCAAACTCTTGCCACTGACGGTTGGCACTTCTCTCCTCACGCACCCTGGACCGTGTTCACTCCACCACGAATGGTGCACGGATATATTAAACGTCAATAGGTCACTGTCCTGCAGAGAAACAAAACACATACATGCGGATATTAGGATATTTTATTAAGTTTCGAATGCCAGACACATGTTACGACTTTATCTGATCACTTTGGGCTTAAAATACCATAATCACTTAATCTGTTCTAACCCCCTTTAGCTAGGACAGAAGGAATCACTGTGGGTAATTCTCCCCAGCCTCCGATGTCTACAGACCCGACACATTGGCTGGCAATAAGTTCAGTCTACATGGTGAGACAAGCAGAGACACCTCGAAGGTGAAAAACAAATGGCTCCAACACTCCTCAGTCACCAGGCTGGATTATCAGCCTCTGCCAAGTCTTGATCCTTCAAGCACTAGAGCGTGAAAAAGAAAAGTCAACCTTTTCACCACAGCTCAGACAATGTAGCTCCCTCAGCAAGGCAATTGATATAATCCTGAAATAATCACGTTATTTCACGTTATTCCTCTCCTCCCCCCCAGCCCCCCAACCCCTTCCCTTTCGGGGCGACTGTTATTTTCTAAGTTTCTGAATGCTCTTCATCATTTGCAATCAGGTCTTACACATATTCAGGGAATGTCAAACACATGGAACATGTTATTCTTTGAACAAGGAAATTAAAGTGAAGCAATTCATATTAATGCTAACAAGCCACCATTAAACAAGCCTCTTCTCACATCATGTTCTTGAAACTGGAGTCACCGAAATAAACTTTCCAATAATCGGCACTATACCCAATGGTCCACACGTGGACAGGTTTCACTTTCACGCTGTTTCACAATTGCAACCAGAAATCTTAAAAGCATCTCTGGTACATTTCATCTGCATTGGACCGAGTGCACAGGACACCCACCAGAACTTTCAAACATGCCTCTTGCCCCTGATCCAGCTTTTTTTGTCAGCCATGGTGCCTTCCCACCACCTCACCTTCCCCCCCTCCAGCACAGATCAGAACTCACTCACTTTCAAAAATAACAATCTTGCCGAGTGAGTAATCTGTTTTTCACAACATTTACCAGCAGAATTCACTGATCAAGAACTCGCAATCTGTGTGATTTTTCAGCTGTGCTTTTAAAGAACTTGAAATTTAAAGTATCTAAAAATGCATTGCTTCATATTCTGTCTCTCATCCAGTCGTTTCAACGGGCAATGCTGCCCTGTGCGGTGTAAAGAAAAACAAAACAAACTTAAAACAAACAGAACAACACTTCTCTCCCTATACAAGTCACGCATATACACAACAGCTGTGCTCATGTCCTGGGAAGCCTGCATTGTTTCCTAAACTTTGAGAAGCAAATTCATTCTGTTTTCCAATCTTAGACTTACAATTGGGATAACTCTCAAACAGGAGCTTAAAGAAAATCAAGAGTGGTCGAATGTGACTGCAACACAAGGCTGTGCAGCAGATATCAGGTCTTTCATTCAATAGTTTACCCTGAAACCACTTGTTATTATCAGCCATAGTCCACAAATTACTCAACAATGATTGACGCGTAGTACTGATAGCACATTATTTATAGGGAAGCTATTTTCCAGCTAATCTTCATCAGCTGCGTTTTCTAGAGGATTAANTTTTTTTATCAACTCAAATCTCCTCACTTAGACTGTATTTCTTCTAAAAAGCCAAACAGAGAAAATGCAGATTATATTTAATACATCTGTGAAGCAAAGTCACACACTGTTCATGAGGGTGAGTCAACCAATACAATATAGGAATATATTACTAAATTGAGGATTGAGATAAGAAAAATATTTCATGTGTTTGAAGCCTGCAGATTAACATTTCAGGATACATACATTTACGTGACGGAATTCGCTGGTAGGCGATTTTCAAAAAGGATTGCAGTGATAATGTTACAATTTCAAAGATATTCTGTGGAATCCACAAATTTATGAGGATTAATTTTCAGGATTCCTCAATTTGCACAATTGGGAACTTCTTTTTAGGAACCAAAAATACATGAAGCTGACTCTTGGGAAATCCAGTGTACATATTCTGCTCCCACAGTGGGGGTCCTACTGGGTCGACAAGAATGCTAAAATCAAATTAAATCAAAAATGGATTTCTCTAATGACTAGAGGCAAAACTTTTGATTTTGCAGTTCAGACATGATTTGAATCACTGATTTCAATTACTGCCTCAGTGCTGGCTAGCTAGTCTGGCTACTCTCCACATCGAACCATTAGAAATTACTGCATAGAAGGCCATTCGGCTCATCGTGTCTGTGCTGGCTCTTTTAAGATTAACAACAACTTCTGCCCTTCATGCGGGGTAGTGTTTTGGAGCGCTTGACAGTGACGTGGTCTGACTCCGAACCAGGGGAGAGGGAGGAACTGAAAATGCGAATGGATGCAGCGACCACTGCCTTTTGGGGGCGAGAGAGTTACAGACTTCCACTAATCTTTGGGTAAAAACCTGCCTCCCAATTTCCCTCCTAAATGGCCTAGCTCTAATTATAAGCTCTAATGCCCCCTTTTAAGATGGATTCCCCGACCAGAGGAAATAGTTTCTCTTTGCTTCTTATAGTAAGCACCATAGCAATCACAGTGGATTCTGACACCAGCAGCTTTTCTTGATGCCTCTAGTATTAAATTCTGATTGTGGCGATTGACTCCATCACATTCTGCACAGAACGTGTGCTGCTGCCAATCTAACAACATGTATTTTTAGAACAGGAGCTTGGAGGAATTAGACCCCGGGATAAACGGTTTCAAAGGAACCCATTTGGCTTTGCTACCTCTAGGTTTACTTCTTCAATTTGGATTAAACTTGATTTTCTGTCATTCTTTAAAAATCAGGACTTGTGGCAACACATCAGCTGTATTTACAGGTTCCACTGTAAAGTGTTGTGAATCCATTTTTGGCAGGGTAAAGCACAGCAGCCAATTTGCACACAGCAATGTCCCACAAACAGCTGTGAAGTGAATGGCTGAACAATTTTATTCGGGGGATTTTTGGCCAAGACACCGGGAAAAGTTCCCTTCTCTTTCCAACCTCTTTAACCTCCACCTGAACAGGCAGATGGGACCCTGGTTTAATCTCTCATCCGAAGGACGGCACCTCCAACAATGCAGCATACCCCCAGCCCCACACTGGAGTATGAACCGAGACAACATGAATTCAACTTGAGCCTACAAACTTCTGATTTAGAATGAGACAGTGCTACCTACTGAGCCAGTCTGACATCAAAAGGTTTCTCTAAAAAAAATCAATGCTTCCTGCAGTCTTTTCATACATAGGAACGTAAGTGAAGAATGCATATAAGAGTTGGGAATGTCAGTCTGTCTAATTCAATGTCCATAATCTAGTGCCGGGTTCCAAAATGTCTCTCTTCTGGTAGCAAAGCACATGTCAGTTCATTAATCCAGTAAACACATTCCACTCTGTTCTAGGTGTTTAGTTGCACCACCTGATTTAATGCTAAACAAATGGAACGAAGCAAGTCTCGAGTGCAACATAATAAGATGAATGAATTTGTATCGAGAGAAACAGAAAAATTGAAAACGTGGTCAAAGGACATTAAGAAAATGAACAATGGGGATTGAACAGAAACACAAGTATAAATTTTAAAGATGAAGGAATAACAATGAGAAAAAAATGCACCTGGGAAAATAAAGTGATGGAAAAATGTAGAAAAAGCAAAATGGAGAATAAAAATGAATCTAATGCAGCAAAGAACTGGTAATAGAAAAAAAAGCTGAAAAAATAATAACCCTAACCAGTTGATGTAGCTCCCTTCACATAGATAGGATGTCTCAAAGCACTTCACAGGATTCATTGTCACATACAGTGACTGTGTATTGTGTAGGAAAATGCAGCAACCAATTTGTGCACAGCAACGTTCCACAAACAGCATGAAACGAATGACCAGATTTTGTCAGTAGATATTTTTCCACCAGGACACTGGAGAAACTCCCTCTCTCTAGAAATAATATCAATAATAATAATAGAATAGTCCTTGCTTTTGATGTAGCGCCTTATCAACTCATCGAGATATCTCAAAGCGCGTCACGGGATATACTGTAAAGTGGTTCTGAGTCTGTATTTTGTGGGCGAAATGCTGCAGCCAATTATGCACAGCAATGTCCCTCAAACAACCATGGAGTGAGTGACCAATTTTTATTTGTGGGATTTGTTGTTCTTTTCTTTCAAGAAAACAAAATGCATAAAGTGTAAAAAAAATGAAGATTTATAAGTGCATTGAAGACACCAACAACAACAACTTGCACTTATATAGCGCCATCCACGCAGGGTAGCGTCTCAGAGCGCTTACACAAAATGAATAGTGATGGGGATAATTATTTAAGATGAGGGTCAGACTAGGGACCCTCCCATCTCGAATGTTTCTTTGTGCATAGACAGGCAACGCAATCATTACAGATCATTCAGATTTGTCTGTGAAAGCCATTCTGCAGATCCATCACATATAATCATTGAAGTGGAGCAAAGAAAGGATTTTAATATGTATTAAATTAGTGAGAGGCACTTTTCAAAGGTGATTAGTGTAACTGTCAGGTCAGGTAACAGCATCTTTAGAAACACCTCATCTTCTGGCATAAAACCAAAAATTCCCATCTTGTTCAATTTTGCGCATTGGGGCTTTAAATCAATGCAGAATGATATGTAAATTAAACTGTTTCCTCCCCCCCCCCCCACCACCACCACCCCCTTCCCACCAACAAATGAAGATGGCCTCAAATAAACAGATTTTGTTAACAGGAACTGCTGTGTTCTGTCTGCTCCGGTGGTAAAAAGCAAAAAGGGCGATGCTATGAAGAGGTCCCCGTACCACTGATGCTCGGCAAACGGTGCGTCCTTGAATTATAAAATCAAATCATTTAGACTGAACAGCTGGCAAGAAATATGATGAATAATTAGATAGAAAAGGGCATCTGTCAGCGTCTGTGGATAATCACTGAACAGATGGGCAGTTTTGATATCTTAGCAATTTCATATGGAGTGAAAACAGCAAGGAGAAAATAAGCACATCACATTCACTGACTGTACTTTGAAGAATT